TCACTGGGCCAACTCGAGGTGTTGGCAGGGTTCTTCCTTCTGGGGCTACCGGGGGCTCCCTGGCCTTGTCTACTCCAGAGGTGCCAGTGTTCCTCAGTTCTGGCTTCTTTGTCCATCTTCAACGTGATGAGCAGCAGCTGGTGGACATTTCTCTCAGCACAGCGGCTCCTCTGCCTCCGTGTCCCCGGCGTGAGGACCCTCGTGGCTGCACCGGCCACCTGGACGTGCAGGTCCCTCCCTCTCCATCCACAGGTCGGCCGACCAGGGCTGCCTTCCACCTGCCACCGCATCCCGTCCATCACGGGACCTGGCCTCCTCACCGGCTCGGGCCTGAGGCCGTGGGCGTCCTTGGGGACCTCCTTGGGGACGTCCTTGGGGACCTCCCAGGGGAGCTGCGCGAGGGAGACCCGAGCGCCAGGGCAGAGCTGGTGGCGGCGCAGGGACTGGAAGGCGAAGGCACCACCGCAGACAACCTGACCTTCCCCAGACTCCTCTCCCACGCGAGCCTGTGGAGCCTGCTGGCTTGGGGTTTGGGGGGCTCCTCTGGTTAATTTTCTATGATTGGACGCATCTGAGCAGGTTCAAGGACCTGGGCTGTGGAGGAAGGAACACTGAAAACCTACGAATTGGGGACATTCGATTCCAGACCCGGTGCCCATCCAAAAGGTCCGGGAGTCTCCGAGGGAAACTGGCAGGCAGGGAGACATGTGCTGTCGCTGCAGAACAGGACACAAAACCAGGCACGTCCGGTCAGCCCACGGTCAGTGCGCGTCTCGGGAAAGGTCCAGTGACAGTGAGCCCTGGACGTGAGCGTAGGAGAAGGAGGAGTGAGGACCCTCCGTGCTGCTGGGATCTGGGGGCCTCAGCCTGTCCCAAGCCAGCCTATTCTTCTCTGGGTTGGTGTCCCTGAGGCAGAGTGACCCCATTTGTCCCCCAGCCGTGTGCTGCCTCCAAAGCTGCCTCCCCATGTCATACCCATGAGTTCCCGCTGGGTGGCTGGTGTGGGTCGGCCACCTGGTCACCTGGGCTCTCTCCCTGCCTCCCTGCCCTGACAGATCGGGTCTGAGACTCAACTGAGACGCGCCCGCTCCAAGCTCTGGGGAAAAGTGGACACTAGGACCCTTCTGATCAGATTCCCCAAAACTGGTCCGGAGCGAATCCCCCTTCTTCCTCCGCTGGTCCCCGCAGCCCTAGTCCTGGGCAGGGAAGTCCGGAGATTTCTGTTCCAGCTAGTGTCAGCTTATTAACTCCCCAAAAGCTCCTCGCGCAAGATCTCACTGTTGTGAATTTCCAGGTCTTATTTTGAAAGGAAAAGGCTGAGGTTCCTCCCTCTGGTTCCTACAGGACTGTTTCCGGTCCCCGCCCCCCGCTGAAGGGAGCAGGGAGCCAGACCCTGAGTGATGCCTCCAGGGGTTCGGTGCCCGCCTGTGTCCAGAGCCCCTTGAAGGCAGCAGGGGCGGGTGGGGCCACAGGGCGTGGCGCAGCCCTCTGGTCTCCGCTCACTAGCTGCCTGAGCGCGGATTCCTTGCTCACGTTCACTGGGCAGCAACACGGGTGACTCAGAACTGCTGTGAGGATGGAGCTGATCCAAGTGGCAGGGTGCCCGGCAAACACGTGTGTCACTTCCTGTGACCTCCACTGTCTGGTCTGGCGCGGGGCCCACTGCAGGGCGGGGCCCAGAACATGCAGGAGGGATCTGCACCCACCGGGCCGTGGAGCGTCTCAGACAGACCAGGGAGGACCTGACTCCCAGCCGGGCGCTGACGAGGCGGGAGGCAGCGGGCGAGGTTTCTCCTGTGGGAGCACAGCGCGTGGATGTCGTGGAAGGACGTGGACAGCTCAGGGAGCCCACGCGCGTCCTGTGGCTGAGCCATAGGGGCCAGGAGGGGGCCCAGATCCCCGAGGGCCGCCAGTGGACTGCAATTCACTCTGTAGCAAGTCAGGGCCCAGCAGGGGGCCACAGGCAAACTTTGGGAGGGGGAGTGGCTACTGTCAAGCATAGCACAGGTCCTAAATCAATTTATATTTTAAAAATTAAAGAAGACCCGCTGAGCATAAGGAGGCTTCCTTCAGATGATTAGTTGAGGGTTGTCCGCAGGAGAGGATGCACTGATCCATGTGGTGCTACCACAGAACCAGGACCTGGGAACAGGGGTCATAGAGCCACAGATGTCAGGACGTTAGACAGGCGTCCTGGCAACCAGAGCTGCCACTCGATGGCCTGGTTTACGTCACGGCAGCATGTCCCCAACCCCTGGAGCGGTATGAAGTCGAATGACACCCCCCCAAATCTCACCCCTAAGTCATGGTTTCATATGGACAAAATTCAGTTCTCCACAAGGCTCAGGAAATGGGGCGTTTGAATGCATGGCCTTTTACTTAATGCAAGGTTAGGTATTTTATTAGCATATTTTCTGTGTTTTTTTTTTTTTTTAGTCCTCACCCGAGAACATTTTTCCATTTTTTGTTCAGGTAGAGTGGGAGGGGGAGAGAGAGAGAGAAAAAAACATTGACGTGAAAGGGACACATGGAGTGGCTGCCACCTGCGCCACCAACCAGGGCCGGGGACAAACTGCAACCGAGGTACATGCCCTTAGCGGGAACCGAACCTGGATCTCTCTGGACCGCAGGCCGATGCTCCAACCGCTGAGCCAAACCGGCCAGGGCTCTTAGCATATTCTCTTAACATGTATTCGTTATGTGCGTCTTAGTCATTCCGTAGGTTCCAGTGCTGGTCTCGTCCTGACGACAGAGCAGTCAGCAAGCCCTAAGGACAGTTCCACCCAGTTACCGACACACGTCCAAAGGGCTGGACACGGTCTGAACACATACATTTTACAGGTAAAAGTCAGGAGCTGATGTTTCAAATAAATTCTGACTTTATTTTCTAGTCACTCTCTCTGCTCGACAGCAGTCAGGGATGGGCGGGAGGTTTCTGTTCTCTTTGGAAGGGGGACAAGGGGACAGACAGACGGAGGACAGCGCTTGTCACGCTGCTTCTTTGGGCTCGTGCACAGCAGCAACCGTGGATTTAGAAAACTTACAAACGGTCCCAGGTGTGGTTTTCAGGGCTGTAAGTGTGTCGGGCCCCCCTCTCCCGGCCCCGTGACCACGAAGACTGGATGCAGACAGAACGGCAGCGGGAGGCAACAGGACGAACACCTCGGCCTGGCCCGACGCCGGGAACCCTGCCGCCTGCCTGGCGCTCCCGTTTCTCCGCCCGCACCCTCGTGTGCGCGCAGGGAACGGCGGCCGGACAAGGTGCCGCCTTGCGGGCGGGCGCCTCCTGCCTTGGGAAGCAGCTGGGGAGGACCTGACTCTCAGCCCGGGAGGGGCGGTGAGGCCCAGGGACAGTCCAACAGGCACACTGTCGTCGGCTCTTCCCGATCCGCCAGACAGAACCACTCTGCACCTTGAATTACCAAGTCCGATCATGGACGCACCAGCTGGTGACGTTCACCTTGACGCAGCGACATTTGTGCAGGTCACAGGAAGTCGGTACTGCACAGCGGTCCGTCTGCAGAGCAGCGCGGTGCCCAGGCCGCGGCGGGAGGAGCTGGGTGTCCGCAGAATTCTCCCTCAGGCACCACGGACACTGCCTGTCCGAGCCACAGGCTGTGGACACCTGGGACAACCTGCTGGTCCCGCTGCCAGGAACAGACGCTGGTTTTCTTCACTGAAGGTGGCTCCGGTTTGTCCCCCTGCACCGTGGGCTCAGCCCAGAGCGTCCCCCGGCAGGAAGAAGCAGCCCTTCCGGACACGCACGCGGCACCCCCAGGCCGTGGCAGCTGGACTGTCCCTGCGCCGACGGCTGGAAGCTGCTTCAGGAGTGGGGCTCGGCACGCAAGGCCGTCAGCTCTGTGACCCGAGCTGCCCGTCCCGAGGGCCCCGCTTCCCCAGGGTCGTCACCCTCTGAACTCACGCAGCGGGGTTCGTAAGGCACCCAACGAGATGGCACGCTCTGCCCCATCCTTGGGGCGGGAGCGACGCCCACACATCACTGCAGTGACGGTGTCCCCTGCGCCAGGCCGACGCGAGCCGGCAGCCCCTCAGCACGCCAGCCCCCGCGCCTCCCACAAACGACAGCACGCGATCCACATGGAGATGTTTTAAAAACTCTGTATTCAATTATTCACACCGAAGGGTACCCATTAAAATTATGAACATCTCTACATGTATTTCAGGTATCGTACATATATATACTTTGTACGTGTAATTACATATCCACAGAAGAGCTCCTGGCTCCCGGGGGCAGCCCTCTGGGCGGCTGCGCCACGCTTATTTACAACTCGCCCGAGGCTGTAAGAAGTGATGCCCGCGCTATGGTACAAACATGGAAGGTCTCGTAAATACAAAGACTGCAAATGAACACATGAAAAAAGTACACACATGTACAGTATGTATAATTCATAAATGCAAAGTGAAGACCCCTTCAGGTGACCGCACTTGCGCATTGTACAGAGATTCCTGTTACACATATAAAATAATTTTTTGAAATTTACTCACTCATCAACTACAATGCAGTTGGATATTGTTAACCAGAAACTCCTCCTCCTTCCCAGAGGGCAGTGGGGCGACAGCCCTGACCGGGGACCCGTGTGGGGAGCGCTGCGGCCTGGGCGTGTGACCACCCGGGTTGCCCTCCAGTGGTCTGGGGTCAGCAGGGAGACAGACGGTCGCCAGCGGACTTCTAGGTGTCTAAGCTAGGGAAGGAGAGAGGGTCTCTTGTTCCTATGGACCTGTAAAGAAAGTCACCTTTTCTTGTCAGAAATTTTCAAAATGCTGCATGTCTCCCTATCTTGGTAACGGTTTCACAGTGTTTGGGGCGAGCACATTACTTCAGTGGGTCCCTGGGCTGGATCCTGTGAACAGGTAGGGGCACTGTTTACCATGCCTCTATAGGTCAATCTCTCGTACCTTCCATCTGCACAGGAAGTGCACACACAGAATACACACCGTGAAAGGGGTCGCACAGGAAGCGGCATTCCCACGTCACTCACACAGGCTGAGAGGTGGCACACGGACCGCCATGCCCATCGCGTAGTCGTCCTTTAGGTGGGCCAGGGCACTGAGTCATACACCTTTAAAAGTGAGTTTACAACAGCAATAAAACCCGTCCATTTACGCTTCTGTGAATGTACTGGACCTGACCCACACCAGCTGAAACCACCTGTGTGAGCCGACCTCCGCTCTGCAAGCTGGATCTGGCTGTAAGTTTCTGTCTGAGGGCCGCCAGTGACCTGACCTGTCCCCGAAGAGTGGCCGGGCCTGCGGGCTGGGCTGTTGGTCACACCCCCCCGGCTGCAAGACCGGCGACAGCGCAGCCGCGCACCGTTGGCGGGGCAGAGAGCGAGTGTCCGAGTGAAGGGAGCAACGCTTTTCGTTTCCAAACGTGTTTCCTGGGACACGTGAGTGTCTCTTTGCTCATCTAATGATTCAGAACCAGAACACCACTGAAACTTTTCTGCTATTTTTATCACAGAAATGCATCTAATGCTTCACACAACCAAAATGTCCAGCGATAAAAAGACAAAAGAAAAAGTGTACTGGATGGAGTATCACTGATTTAAACCTAGGATAAGTCTTCAAAGAAATCGGCAAAATGAGTATCGGGATAAATGCTTCGGCCCTGGTGACAATGTGACAGCCGTGGGCACTGGCCCGCACGGGGGAGGGGCCGGCTCCTCTGCATCCTGCCGATTTCAAGTAGACACACTTGCAAGAGAAGGTTACGCTAATGGGACGAAACTGATGTCTTGAAAGAATCGAACCCTAAATCAGCAAAGCATAGAAAGCATGTTGGAAATACGTAAAGACAGAAGTGATTTCCAAAATCTAAATCATGCGCATGTACCCGAAACTCAACAAAATCACAGCATAATCAGCGCCACCGTTCTTGGAAGCTGTAAAAAAGACTGAACAGTGGCAGCCACAAGGGTACAGGAGAATAAAACCAAATCAAAGGTAGAAATCAGGAAGGAGAGAATGGTCCTATTCATTCAACTTGACAACATTAAGCATGGATGTGCCCCTGAAATGTCTTCTATTACTATTAAGAAAAGCAAAATAAGAAATATACAAATGAAGAAGAAAAATTAAAGTACTGAAAATAATGGCACTGACCAAGGCAGGGTGAATAATTTAGTCCTATTTAAAGCTCAAACCTTAATTCTGAGTTCAAAGGCTAGAACATAATACTAAAAACTAACTATATTTAAAAATATCGATGTAGCTAAGGATTTATGTAACTACGTGTATCATGTACAAACATGTCTAGTGTGCTTGAACATTCCAATAAAGCAAAATTCACTGAGATTGTACGAAATCGAAGGAAAATCTAAAAGAACATGCTGGAGAGGAAACCCACAGAGCACAGACCTCCTTTCGACGAGTCTGTCTGCGGTGCCGACAACGTCCACGTGGGGGGACTGTGCTCACCTGCACAGGTGCTCTGGCCTCTGAGAGAGGGGTCAGGAAAGAGAGAGGACAGAGGTTTCTCGAGTGCTTCTTAGAAATGACAATCGCCGGAAACGGGCCCCTATCCCTGCCCCAGTAAAGGGGCCATTTCTGAGAATTACCTTCCAATCCAATTCCTTTCTTTAGAGTTTTCCTAATTAATTAAACCACAGTCAACTATGAATTAATAAGGTGCTTGCATTTTTTTAGAATTGCATACTGCCCAAGTTCCCTATTTCATGTGGTTGGCGTGCATTTCCGAAATAATTTCTAGTATAAAAACAGATTCATTACCTCTGGAAGATGATGGAATAACAGCATTTGATAATAAGACTGTGTCTGTTAGAAATCAGCACAATGAAAATGTCTGCAAACTGGACACTCCACCTACACTCACAGCTGGGTGCCAAGTTCACACTGATAGGAAAATCTGGCCCAACATAAAATACCGCCTTAATGAGAAACTCATCAAAAGTTTTGGTAATAAAGACCATTTGCCCTTTGAAGAAAAGATTTGGGGAAAAAAATGAGAACAGAACCCTGAATTTTGTCTGCTAAATATATCTGCCAAAATAGAAAAATACTCCTAACTGTATTTTTTTTCAAAAACAGATCATTAACTAAATATCACTTCATCCTGTCTTTTATTTTAGGCAAATCTACGATTCCTAAGTAAATCTCATACATGGTAAAAGACAATACTCACAGTTTACATGGGAATAGAGTCCTTTGTTCACACTTTGTTTCTACTATGCCAATATTTCACAACAAAGTACCCAATAAATCCATAAACATTTCTTTTGGAAACTGGAGATCACATAATACACCTGGCTATATAGAAAAAAAAAGGATAGTCTGTAACAATCTATCAGAACAGCAACCTGTGAACTCTTTGTCTACATCAAGCAGCAGAATGCATGCATTCTTTTAAAATCCTTTTAATTAGACAATAGTCTTAAGTGATAGTCAACCCTCTTGCAATTCATTCTCAAAGTTAATTAGGTGACTACATTCACTTCGGTGATTGGAGTTGAGTCTGGTGGGGTGGTTTCATAAATTTAGAGGCCAAAGACCATGAAACAACTGTAAATTCTCTTCTACGAAAACACTACCATGAAAAAGGACGCTTTCTAGTCCGCTCTTAATCAAACAATATACGTTCGTCAACACAGAAAAGAAGTCAGTTTTTGAAGAATGCAGTTGATTTTCTTCCATAGATGTGTATCTCTCTTGCTCTCACGTCTACATGCATGTGTATATCTACATACACACGTGTGTGCAGCTACATGCATGTGTGTCTAGCCAGAGTGGATTTCTCTCTAGCTGCTCCGCTTTCCCTCATACTGTGTAACTACAATAGCAAATGGGCGCCAGGGGGGCAGATGGCGACTTTCAGAAGCCCATAAGGAAACTGAACACATAGTGTTAATTTTAAAGTAAGAACAATGTTTATGTATAGCTCTCTTTGCTACAACATAAACCATGTTGTAGAAACAACTGGTTTATTTTTGCAAAAACCAAGCTCATATGAGCAACAATATGTACAGTATTAAGCCTGTAGAAGAATATTTTAAGATTTTATTTTATTAAAAGTCCTATTCCAGCTTCCTGCCACATGGATAGTGGATTATCTACTTACTATGGATCAGCCTGTCACACTCTGAGCCTCTAGCTAATTTCTGCAGGTCAGGACTAACCACAGGTTACAGGTTCGGACGTTACTGTGTCATGCTAAAAACCATTACAGCATTAATATGTGCCAGAATTATACTCCTTAGCTGATCATCCTGGTAGGAAGGGGTCCAGACTGTCGCTTTTGTATATTCTCTCAAGACATTCACATGGTGGAGTAATGTTAGTCTACCAGAAAGTATGCGGAAGAAACACCCCAAACCACAGGTCTGATGTAGATGTTGGGCGTCGAGCAGAGCAGACAGAAACCAGCCCCGGTCCATTGCTCTGGGCTCCTCTCCTTCCCCGTTGAGGACACGCAGCTCACGCAGGACCCTGGCTGGCCCGAGGAAGGGGACTCAGGAGATGATGCAGCAGGTGGATGAAAAAGTACAGAAGACTTCAAGTTTATGGTTTAATTTGATTTTAGGAGAAATGAATGATAATGAAATAATTTGTAGAGTAAACCTTTCATTTTGAATGTGAATCTAATATTTTGCAATGACAAAGTGAAAATATAAAGAAATCATTATTCAAAATACACATTTTAGATCCATACGACTTGTCCATTAAAAAATTCATATGCCTTGCTTTTATTTTGTTCTTTATGCAAAATGATTAGTGAATTTGCCAAGACTGCAATGGAAAAATTTAAAAAATATTCTTTGACATCCTCTGAGTTGAATCTGGGACTTCTGAGACTGCTGCTGATGACGCGGCTCTTCCCAAGGACAGGACGTCAACTTGCTTCCTTTGGCGTAACATGTGCTCACCTAAGCCTTGAGCACAGATGGAAACCCTTGAGACCCCTGACTCTCAATTCAGGAAGCGAAACAAGAACCCACTTTCCGTCACTGACTGCAGACAGGTGCTTCTATGCTGCGACCTCGATGACGTGTCCTGAGGCTGGTCACATCGATCCCAAGTAGGCCACACAGAACTCACAATAGTAATGTGTAAAAATTCCTATTTATAACCAACAACATCAAAGCAACATTGGTGTTAAAGCCAAAGTACAATATCATCATAGTACCATTTTATACCCTCGCCAGAAAGACACGGTGGGAAAGGACCCCCTTGCGGATGATGTCTGTCCATTTCCAGTAAGGCCTCAGCAACATCAGCCTGTTCGACAAGGCCAGCCCGCCAGCCAGTGGAGCCCGTGGACAGTGGGTTCTGGCCCCGGGTCCTGCTGGTCACTGTCTGTGATGCGTTACCCATGAGCTTGGCAGGGAGTTGTCTGTCTACGTGATGGTACCTTCTGCAAGAGACTGGCATCCCGGTCCCCAGGTGTAGGTTTCCCCCACGAAAATAAAAGGAAGAAAAGTCGAAGCAGCGAGACGAGCATCTGCAGGTGGGACAGCTCCCTGGGCCGTCAGTCGTCGATCTTCACGGGCAGCTTCTCCGAGGTCCCTGGGGCCACCGCCTGGGAGGAGATCCACACTGCGCTCTCCTCCCCGCGGATCACCTTCTCCCACTGGCTGAGGTTGTTCCTGGGGTGAAAGACGCAGTGACAGGAGCTGTTTAAGAAAGGCTCCCAGGCGGGGTCTCAGAAATGAGCTGCCCTCCTGGGCAGAACGCGGCACCAGGCTTTCTGGTGTGGCTCTGACTGATGACAAGGGGCTCCCATGCGCCTCCCGGACTGGACACCACAGCTTAGTGTCCCCAGAGGAACCCCACACACTAAGCCTGGGGAGGCTCCTGGTCCCAGACGGCAAGGACAGAAAGCAAGCGAGGCTCAGGACAGGTCATTCCCAACTAGTCAGAAGGGGTGACAAGGTGGGATGTGCCACGTGGGTCAGTGGAGAGGACACAGGGTGTCCAGAGACAGTAGGAACTGCAGAACGTCTGTCTCTGCAAGGTGGAAACAGGGGATCTCCCAGGACACCCTCAGTCCCGCCACACCCCACGTGATGCTGGGAGTGGAAACTGGGTCACATATAAAAAGTCACCGTGTTACACCTGCTACAAACTTCCGAATCCCCTCGTTACAGTAAAGCCACAGCGGTGCTCTGGGGACTTCGAGTCTCACTGCAACCTCGACTCCCCGCACTCGGCTCTCTCACCCTCCGCAGTCCAGGGAGTGACAACCACCCTGCGTGACTGCCGTCTTGCCCTGACTGGTGACCTGCAGGGAGCTCACTGTTCCCCACTCTGCACCTCGTTTCCCATACGTGAGGTCCATTCGGAAGGCAACCTCGGCACTGACAGAAGCGCACACAACGCACATGCATGTGGACAAAGAAATCCCTGGAATGGACACCTGAAAGTTGCAACAATTTTAACTAGCATATTGTTGCGTATCATTTTCCCAGAACCTAGAGAGATGTTTTTGGATATCTTGCAAAAGAGAGGTACACTAACTCGGCTGTTTTCCCAACGACCATGATGAACTGTTTCTGTGTTAACGAGACTCCAGTGGCCTTCAAGGGGCATGTGGTTCTGGTCCAGTTCCCTGAAGCAGGAAGGACCAAAGCTGCTGAACAGCCAAACAGCATTCACACTGCTGAGTTCAACTATTTACCCTAAAACACAAAGAACTGTTGGACAGGACACGTGTGTGCTACAATCAGAAATTGGGTTCAGATTGATACCCGATTTCTCTCTGGTGGGGCATCCACTTCGCCAGCCTCATTGCACGAAGGGAGCCCTGGCTCTCCAACCCACCCGCGCGGCCAGCCCCGGCACAAGAGGGCATCGTTATAAACAACCCTAGTGCAGGGCAGCAGGGCTGCATTGCTCCTGAGGCGGAGAAACCTACTCAAGCAGGAATCACCAGGCTGCTCACCCTGCCTGTGTGTGCCTTCCTTCAGAAGGTGGTTTGCAGCCCGGCCGGTGTGGCTCAGGGGCTGGGTGTCAACCCTGCACCAAGAGCTCCCTGGTTCGATTCCCGGGCAGGGCACATGCCCAGGTTGTGGGCCTGATCCCCAGCGGGGGGCGTGCAGGAGGCGGCCCATGGATATTCTCTCATCGATGTTTCTCTCTCTCTCTCCCTCCCTCTCCCTTTCTCTCTCTCTCTCTGAAATAAAAAAAAAATATGATGTACATCCAAAAAATAAATAACTAAATAAAGATCAGTTTGTAAGTTTCAACAGCAGAGGATAGGGTACAAAGAAAACTTTTGTTTTTATATAAAATGATCGGCCAAACGTCTGTCCTCCATCTCCCCAGGGAGCATCCACTCTGACCCCCAAGTCTGGTTCGGGCCGAGTCATTAACACATGGCCAATCTACCTACAGGGAGTTAACCTTCCCTGCAGGGAACATCTTGTCAAAGTAAATTTAATTTTTTAAAAAAAATAAAATCATTTTAGCTGAGCTAAGGGGAGAAAAAGGAACCCTCATGTGCTGTTGGTAGGAATACAGCCTGCTGCAGCCACTGTGAAGTTACCTCAAAACATTTAAAATGGAACTGCTGTGTGACCCAGTGATTCCACTTCTGGGAATATAGCTGAAGAAACCTGGAACACTGATTCAAAAGAATATATGCACCCCTCTGTCTATTACAGCATTATTTACAATAGTTAAGATCTGGAAATAGCTCAAGTGTCCATCAGTAGATGAGTAGATAAAAAAGTTTTTATACATGTACACAATGGAATACTATGCAGCTGTAAAAAAAATCTTACCCTTTGTGACAGCGTGGATGGACCTGGAGATGATTATGCTGAGTGATGCAGGCCACTCAGAGAAAGACAAATATCACATGATCTCACTTATATGTGGATCTAATGAATGAAATAAACTGACAAACAAAACAGAACCAGAGGCATAGAAGCAGGGAACAGATTGATTGCTGTCGGAGGGGCGGGGGAGGGAGGACTGGATGAAAGAACATATATGCATAGCCCATGGACACAGACAACAGTGTGGTGGCTAGGGAGGGGGTGGGGTGGGGTGGAGATGGGCAAAGGGGGGAAATGGGGGACACGTGTAACAGTGTCAGCAACCTTCCACAGTCTCGGTCTCTCCTCCAATGCGGTACACACCTGCAGGCTCTGAGGAGCGGCTCCGTGGGCGGGAAGATCTGGGTGAGGGTGGTGTAGCAGGGGATGGCCACCGCATTGTAGAATCCAAGCTGCGCCGCAGAACCACCAGCAAGAAACACACGCACGTTAGCACTGGAGCCGCACAGCGCTGCTCGCGGGAATTCCTGTTTCCTAAGCCAACCCTAACCTTACACACAGCTCTGCTCTGACACTGGGCTCACTGAATACGGCCTCGGAGTACACTTACAAACAAGAGAAGCTTCAAACACACAGAGTTACTGTGAGCCCAGTGCAACACTCAGTGAGGACTCCTTGCCGAGGGGTCCGGCTGGAACTCGCTGGTCTCCGGGCAAACCTGCTTCCACCGCAGACGTGTCCGCGTCCAGCCACGCACAACCGCCTGTGGCTCTTCCCCACCTCCTTCTCAGGAGTCACGGCAGAGGCTTTGTCTGCTTGTGACCCTGCTGGCTCTTGGTGCCTGTGTGCTCTCCTGAGACCGTATTCATCCCCTCGCATGCCCTTTTTCTGACCTGCAAGTCCCACTGACTATCAGTTCTCTCGATATGTCAAACTCCAGCACCTTTCGTCTGTGGCACCTTAAGAACAAATTACACCAGGAACCCTGGGCCACTGGGCCATAAACGGTGCCAGCTGAGACTGGCCTGCGAGGCAGGCTCGAGGCCCTGCAGCCTGGGAGCAGCACAGACTGCCCAGCTATCCGCACGGCCCAGTGGGTGACAACTGGCCCTGGGGGAGGTGACTCCAGGCCGAGGCGTACCGCGTCTCAGGAAATAACCTCCCTGAGATGTGCAGAGGGGAGCCGAGGCTCGAATCGCCTGCTCTGTCCGCTTCTCCTGCTGTACGTCTGCCGTCCCAGGCAGCGGGCCCGGCCAGGCCTGGGGCTGCCATCTAACTCCATGGCGCTTGCTTATTTTAACACTTAGCAGACCTCATGGAGCAGATCTCGAGAAAAGGGCCAGGCATTGGGAAGTAGAGAAGGCTTTAACATTGTAACCAAGAATGACTTAATGATAATCACAATTTAGAAGCAATATAGTTGATAAAATACTAGTTGACCACAGAAGTATTTTACCTGAAACTCTCCCATACTGTGAGTGAGTCTGTAATTTTGGAAAAAACAAACTATTCCCTTAATTAAATAACACTAGAACACAGCCAGTCTCTGGGACATTTTCAGCTACCTGTGCTTTGTTGGGTATGTGCTTAACTACCAAAGAGAAAAACACTGGTAGGTCCCTATCTTAATTACATAACAAGACAAACTCCACATCAATTAAAAAAACAATTAAGTGATGGCACCATCGTGTAAAGACAATATGGCAAGTGTGTCCCAGTCTCGGAAGGGAAAAGCCTTTTCCCATGGGGCATGCAAAGCCCACCCCAGACCCAGAGCCTGCTCCTGCGGCTGCACACGTGGGAAAGGGCCGCCCACAGCAGGGAAGCAGCCACCCAAGCACTGTGCAGCCTGCACGCTGCATCTGAACCGAGGGGACGCCGGGAGCGCCGTCAGCCCGCGTGGCTCGGGACGCGGGCAGCCGTGCAGCGCAGGCCGGGTCGCCACGGGGACGGAGCCCTCCGCGCAGACATCTGCATCAGCAGTTAGTGAATTAACTTGAAATAACGTAGGAAGACTGGAAACTTTTTCAAAACCATCATCTTGCAAATTTTTGGCAATTATTTCTACTCTGTGTTCTATATTATAATTATTTGTCCAAAACTGACCTCCTTGTTGTGACTTAAGAAAATGGACAGTTTAGCCCGGCCGGTGTGGCTCAGTGGCTGAGCGACACCCGATGCAGAGAGGTCGCTGCTTCAATTCCCTCAGGACACAGGCCCAGGCTGTGGGCCCGACCCCAGTGGGGGGCGTGCAGGAGGCGGCCAGTCCATGTTCTCTCATGAGGTTTCTCTCTTTCCCTCTCCCTTCCTTTCCCTCTAAAATCAATAAAGAAAAAAAATTTAAAAAGATGGGCAGTTTAAAAAGCTCATAATCGTGAGAAACATATTACACTATACATGTACACACGAAAAATTAACAAGGTGCAAGGACTCTCAAAACAAAATATTAGCACAAGTACATGATTTTATGTATATTCCCTGGAGAGGAAATAATTAATGTCACTTTATGGTGAGACAAACTCAGAATGTACTAAAATACTCTGCATTATTTGTTAGGAAAAGTGGACCCAATAAAAATCTATAATGTCACCCTCCAAAAAAGGATCTTTGTATATTCCATGACAAACGATTTTCTGCTCGTTAAAAACAATACTAACCATTCAGACCATCCATCCCATTTCCAATCAAAAGCGAGCGCTGTTCCCTGCGCTTCCACCTGTAGGGGGGCTGCTGGCAAGGCTGGCTGTGAGCTGGGGTTCCCCAAACCCCATCTAAGGGCAGAAGGCAAGTGGTTCTCAGTTCTACCCTCTGGCCACTAACCCGCGACCGCCCTCAAGCTTCCCCGGTCTGCGGGCAGCTAAGGAACAGACTCTCTGTCCGAGCCCAGTCTCCGTCACCAGCAGGGGACCCCCGAGACTGCGAGCACAGGAAGCTCGTTTCAGGGGTGGTTTCTCCAGGCCTCAGACCTCTCAGAGCGGTCGCTCAAGTCTCTGCCTCAGTTGCCAGGCCCGGGGGAGCCGTCCACTCCACGAACGCACAGACGCTGGGTGCTCTTGCTCACGTACGCCCGCACGACCCCTTCAGGGCCCGGCCTTCCCAGCACATTCGTACCTGGCCTTGCGGGACTTCATCCCTCTTGTCCCTGTCCATCATGGGAATGGGCTGTATTCCTAGCTTCTTCATCTCGTCGCCCTGAAAGAAGTGGAACAATCATGCTTTCTCAACTATCAAGTTTTAAAATTATGGTACTAATGAGCTCTGCTTTTTATTCATTCCTTGTCTTCCAAATGAATCATGTTTTTGGCAAATGACATAATAAAAAGTCAAAGCAATGGAAACTTTCACGTGTCATCGCTTGGTCTGCACCCCGAGGCCCCTCTGCACCGAATGCCCGGAAGCCCAGTGGTCAGCTCGGGTTTCACGTGCAGGAGAGGAGACAGAGTCGACAGTGAGGGAACAGGACGTGGGCCACCTCAGGGCCTCCTCCCCACCTGCTCTCACACGCTGTCAGTGCGCTGAGCTGCGAAGCTGGGCTGAGCGGGGTGCCCACCAAGGGCGTCTGAGTGCGGATGCGGCTCACTGTCTGCGCATCACTGTCAAGGGGTAACTGCGGATGCTTCCTACAGACTTACTGTGTCGCAGGCTCTGGGCTCAGTCACCTACAAAAACCATGTCACTCACTTCTCATGAAATCCTACAAGGTAAAGTACTCTTCAAATGTGCAGGGACCTGGGTATTTGTGGAATAATGTGAAAGAGAGAATTCTCTTCTACTTACTCATGGAAAATTCAGAAATAAAATTAAGGACTAAAACACATTTCTGATCATTTAGATAACTCGGTTAAGAAAAGGTGCTCAAAAAACAAGAAATTCACATTCGTTTCCTGTCGGGAGTATAATGAGTCTGCTGCTCATGCCCAGGCTGTGGACAGGACTCTGGCACTGCTCACACAGGCCGGGCAGCCCTGACGGCTCCTCGTGGCCTGGGCAGCACCCGTTCCAAGTAGCTGAGCAGCAACCCTTCTCAGGACGAACAAGAGGTGGACCGCAAGCGCGGACCCTGCCCACTGCCGTGCGGGAAGTGCTGGGCTCTCTCGCTCGCGATCAGAGCTCACACACGCGAGTCAGACGCGACCACGCGGCTCTCACTTCGCATCGGCGTGAGCACCGGCCTCATCCTGAGCGGCCAGCTGCACCTGCTGAAATAGCGTCCAACCTGAGTGACTGACTTATTGTGACCAAATCACCCATACATTTATTTTCTCTTTATTTTTCCCATTTCTTGACGTTATCCATCTCCATACAAATCAAGGACGTACCTCAGCCCAAAATTCTGCATATATATCATTTGCTGTCAATTTTGTAACTGGCCACAGTTTTGTCACAGAGCAGAGGTCGCAGGCCGTCATCATCAAGCCAATGACGCGGTCCCTAGAACAAAGGACACGGACCAGTCAGCACGAGACAGGCTTCCGCGTTCTCAGGACTGAGCTGCGAGGCCAGCACCGCTCGGGAAGGGCAGGTGCTGCGGACGGGCAGGACGGAGCGGGGGTCGCAGTGCGATCGAGGCGTGGCTTCAGCTGCAGGACCCGTAAGAATGTCGGGCACTGCCCGCTCGTGCCATGAAGACAGAGCACGTGTCCCGAGTGACCTGTTTCTCAGAACCTGAGAGCAGACTCCTCTGGGAAGAAAGGTTATGGTTCGGACTCAGTGGATCACTGAAGACCTAGGTGTGCAGAGCACCCAGACAGAGAGGAGACCCACATGCAGCAGGACGAGGAGGGAATCCGTGAACAAGTGTTCACAAACCCACAGGTGAAGAGCATCTTTAGGAGGGATGTGCTCCGGCACAGAAACAGCCAAGGGGACGTCCTGGCAGTAGGAGCTGGTGGGAACCATCTGCGAACTGCTCTGGACTGAGAGCCCACGTCCTGACAGGTAAACAGGTCGCAAGGAACATACCCAACGCATATCCGAACCTGCTGGGCAAGGCGTGCCTTCTCCAAAAAGAAGGGACCTCCCATGTAGCCTGATGCCATTAAGACAATGAAGGGACCTAGATCCCCTCGTTCTGACTATGTTCACGAAGCAAACGTTTATTGCCACTTGGCTTTCCCCGCGGTTCTGGCCACACGGACGCCGACTTTCTGGTGCTCATAACTAGAATATGCATTTGTAGATCAATAAAGTGAAATTCCAGTTTTGTGCATCGATCACATTAGCTTGGTTAATATACTATGGATCCTAAAGAACGTAACCCTTTCTCATTTGCTTTGGAGTCTGTGAGGCCCAGGACCAAACTCACCTCCATGATAAGTTCAAGTAGTCTCTTGCAAAATGACTTCCCCTTGACAGTACCCATTTCTGAGCAAACAACTCAATGTCCAAGTCCCATTCTAATGCCCCTCCCAATACACTGTCAGAAATTTTGTCGAATTAAAATAACCAAAGTCAATAAAAACTGCAAAACAATAGTAACTATATATATATATATATATATATATATATATATGTACACACACACATTACATTCCTACTTTCAAATATAAATCTATGCTAAATTACATTTCTGTGTTTAAATATAAGTTTACTCCAGGTAACATTCCTTGGTCTTCTAAACTTTTGGGAAGTATGTTTACCTATGGGATTGATTGTTAAGGTTCAGCGAGCCGGTCTGGTACATCTCTTCCAACTGCTTCCTGTTTCCAAAGTACAGAGCGAGGTCCGTGGCGATGATGGCTTTGCGGATGATCTCGAGCACCTGCTCGTACTCGCTGGAGTTCAGGGTGGAGAAGATATTGTGTCCTTCCAACTGCGGAGAAACACACACACTGATACAGCGCCAGCGTGAGCCTAGGACGTCCCCAGGTACTTGCAACAACAGTCAAGTCAGTGGCACTTGGCACATAAACGACAGGCATGGGAGGAGCAGAACAGTCTGGAACAACCGATGGAACTAAGGTTTGGTCTTTCTTTAAGCTGCAACACTAAAGCTATCACTTAAATGAACTATTTAAACTGCAGTAACATCATCTGTTATCACCAAAATCCAGTGATTTAACTATAAATGCAGTGTTTGGATATTTCAAATAAGTAATTACAGGACAAGAAAATGTGAAATGATTAAAAACTTTTTCTTCTTAAATTAAAATAGTGATTTTTACATTATACTGGAAATTAATGGGCTTGAAAAGTCATCTATATACTTATCCACGTCAGCAAGCCTAATGAATACTAACCACTGTGTCTTGTCCTAGAATAAAATGTCCCACAATCTCAAAAACTCAACACATTAGAAACTGCCCCGCAGAAAAGAAGTTTCACACAGAACATGTCACTGGGTTGTTTTTGTTCCCACAAAAAAGGCGGAGATAGTTAAGATGCACTAAATATGTGGGCTCATCACCAGGTATCGTAGGCCCACCACACACTGATTTGTGTTTTCATGTGTCCTAAGCTACGCCACTGCAGATAAAATACATGAACACGTGACAGCATCAGAGCGCGGTTCTCAGGAGGGCAGAGGTCTCAGCGGCACAGGGTCCGCCCCGCCCCGCCCCGCCCCGCAGTCAGGCTGCGCAGCATCCTGTTCTCTCCATCAGACCCTCCCGCAGCACTGCACTCAGGCTCCGTGAACACTTGCATCGCCTCAGATGAACGCAGCAAACAGCATCAGTTCTACCTGGCTACTTTCCTGCACGCTCTGTGTCTGAAAAGCACTTTCAAAAACTTGATTTCGCTTTCAAATGCCAACATGTAAGTAAGTCTTTGGTATCTATCTGAAATGAAACATTTGCTGAAACATTAACAAGATGTTTCTTTGACTGAAAAGAAACCGCAGTGGCTTCTCCATCCTGGCCATCGGACTGGATCTGCAGGGATGTGCCTCTCTGAAGTAGCTTTCGTAAGGCAGCAAGTACGCAGGTGAAAGAGGAGACTGTGACAAGGCAAGACTTCAGCTCAGCACAGGGAGGAACCTGAATGTTCAGAACAGGCATGAGATGCCGGGGTCGGGCTGTTCGAGCGAGGGCTGGTTAGTTGCTGATGGGGACAAGGAGAGGGATCCAAGCACTGGGCAGGTGGTTGAACTCAGTGACCTTTCCAGCCCCTTCCGACCCCAGCTCGCTACAACTTGATCAGAGAACAGAACCAAGAGGAAATCTTTTCTCTGACTCACTCCATGAAACCTGCTCGCTGTGACCACACCCGGGTGAGGCAGCTGCTGCAACATTCAATGCCTGTGACCTGGGCCCGTGCACACACTTCACCTGCAGTATGTCTGCCCGGTACTAATGCACACAAGTGCTATCGGCAGGTCACCCAAGGAGGAATCACATGTAATTCCCATATCTATATGCTTTACCCTCTCGATCACCAATAAGCCATCCAATCACAGTGCATAAAAATATTCCAGCATGCTGCTGAAACAGGGATATCTTAGAATGGGTTCTATAAATTCTCCTGAGGACCACAGAGTTATAAACTGACCACAACTATGCTGAGTGTGTCATTCATCATCACATTTCAATCCGATTCTAAAAAGTGTCCAGGGTCTAAGACAAATGACCCATTTTAAAGGGTCTATAACTCTGCCAGCTACTCCCCACTCATGGTCTCTTTCATCACCTTTCCATACTGAGGGAGGGAAGTTCAGGGCAGGCCTTCATAAGCGGAGCCGTAACCAGGGCCCTTTCACTGTCTCTGTCAATTTTATAAGAATAAAGGACGTGAACAAACAAAAACTGGTCCCCTTTCCTTCAAGAGACTCTAGAGTAAATGCACTCTAGATATTTTCCTACAAAACACAAGAAAATAAGGGGGACACACAACCAAACGCACCAGACAGCCTCGAGTGCCCTGGCCGGAGGGCTGGACAGAGACACCACGGGCTCTGCTCAGCGCGAGGACGGGTGACATCCTGCCATTTGCTGCAACAGGGATGACTCTAGATGCCATCCTGCTAAGCGAAGTAAGTCAGACAGGAAAGGGAAAGACCCACATGACTTCAGTCATATGTGAGACATAAAACCGAAAGAAATAAATGAAAAAAACAAGAAAAACAAACAAAATCTCACAGACACAGACAACAGCGTGGTCGCCAGCGGAAGGGCGGCAGGCAGGAAGTGGTAAAGGGTCCAGCATGTGATGGAAAGAGACCTGACTGGCAGGTGGGCACACGATGCAATACACAGATGGAGGAGGGAAAGGCACACTTGAAACCTGTATAATTCTATTAACCAATGTCACTCCCAATAAGTTTAATTAAAAAGAGACTTTTTAAAATAAAGTATACAAAATTTTAACTTTCATATCCATAAATAAAGTACTGGCTACAACATAATACTTTTAAAGCAACAACTTCACATTAGTTAATAATATGAAGCCTCGCCCTGGCCGGTTTGGCTCAGCGGTTAGAGCGTCGGCCTGCGGTCCTGAGAGACCCGGGTTCGGTTCCCGCTAAGGGCATGTACCTCGGTTGCGGTTTGTCCCCGGCCCTGGTCGGTTGTGCGGGTGGCAGTCACTCGATGTGTTCCTTTCACATCGATGTTCCTCTCTCTCCCTCCCACTCTACCTGAACAAAAGAATTGGGAAAATGTCCTCGGGTGAGGATTAAATAAAAATAAAAATAATAATAATAATAATAATAATATGAAGCCTCATAAACCTCATAATATGTTAATATCCCTATTGGTAAACTTATTACAGTCAACATCCCAGGATGCACTGAAGCTTCTATTAATTCCAGGCAGTTGGGCCCACTTCATATCAATGAGGCAGTAGCAGGCGCTGTATAACCAAGAATGTTTCTCAGACCCACACTGATGAGCAGCACTTACATCCTATCTCTGTGAACGCAGGTGAGTGGGCTCTGTCAGTGCCCTGGATCCTGACACCTGAGAGACTAGAGAATGCACTCGGTGCTGATACCTGCCCCACGCTCACACTGCCCCGCGCCCGCACCTGCCCCGCGCCCGCACCTGCCCCGCGCCCGCACCTGCCCCGTGCCCGCACCTGCCCCGCGCCCGCACCTGCCCCGTGCTCACAACTGTCCTGTTCTCAGAGGCCTCCAGCTCTTGGAAAGATGTTGCTAAGGATGCACTACCCTCACGCCCTGGTGGAGTGCTGTTCTCCGGCCTCAGCGAGAACTCTCCATTACACAGTGAGGCCCACAGGTCCTTACTTAACGGACATTTTGTGTGCAGGGTTTCACTCTGTATAAGGCTAGCAGTAGTTTAGGACCTACTGTATTCAAGGTCCAAACAACTAAAGTTCATTTTGAAAGAACCTCATTGTTTGGTGGGGTGGCAACAAAACAACACAAAATGGTGTTTATGAGGAGGAAGGGCCTGGAAGAGTCTATGAAGAGGGAGGAGGGTCGGGGAGAGTCTATGAACGAGGGAGGAGGGCTCGGGAAGAGTCTATGATGAGGAAGGAGGGCTCGGGAAGAGTCTATGAACGAGGGAGGAGGGCTCGGGAAGAGTCTATGATGAGGAAGGAGGGCTCGGGAAGAGTCTATGATGAGGAAGGAGGGCTCGGGAAGAGTCTATGATGAGGAAGGAGGGCTCGGGAAGAGTCTATGATGAGGGATGAGGGCTCGGGAAGAGTCTATGATGAGGGAGGAGGGCTCGGGAAGAGTCTATGAACGAGGAAGGAGGGCTCGGGAAGAGTCTATGATGAGGAAGAAGGGCTCGGGAAGAGTCTATGATGAGGGATGAGGGCTCGGGAAGAGTCTATGAACGAGGGAGGAGGGCGCGGGAAGAGTCTATGAACGAGGGAGGAGGGCTCGGGAAGAGTCTATGATGAGGAAAGAGGGCTCGGGAAGAGTCTATGAACGAGGAAGGAGGGCTCGGGAAGAGTCTATGATGAGGAAGGAGGGCTCGGGAAGAGTCTATGATGAGGAAGGAGGGCTCGGGAAGAGTCTATGATGAGGGAGGAGGGCTCGGGAAGAGTCTATGAACGAGGGAGGAGGGCTCGGGAAGAGTCTATGATGAGGAAGGAGGGCTCGGGAAGAGTCTATGATGAGGGAGGAGGGCTCGGGAAGAGTCAATGCTGAGGGAGGAGGGCTCGGGAAGAGTCTATGCTGAGGGAGGAGGGCTCGGGGAGAGTCTATGATGAGGGAGGAGGGCTCGGGGAGAGTCTATGAAGAGGGAGGAGGGCTCGGGGAGAGTCTATGATGAGGGAGGAGGGCTCGGGGAGAGTCTATGAAGAGGGAGGAGGGCTCGGGGAGAGTCTATGAAGAGGGAGGAGGGCTCAGGGAGAGTCTATGAACGAGGAAGGAGGGCTCGGGGAGAGTCTATGAACGAGGGAGGAGGGCTCGGGAAGGGTCTATGATGAGGAAGGAGGGCTCGGGAAGAGTCTATGATGAGGAAGGAGGGCTCGGGAAGAGTCTATGATGAGGAAGGAGGGCTCGGGAAGAGTCTATGATGAGGAAGGAGGGCTCAGGAAGGGTCTATGATGAGGGAGGAGGGCTCAGGAAGGGTCTATGATGAGGAAGGAGGGCTCGGGAAGAGTCTATGAACGAGGGAGGAGGGCTCGGGAAGGGTCTATGATGAGGAAGGAGGGCTCGGGAAGAGTCTATGATGAGGAAGGAGGGCTCGGGAAGAGTCTATGATGAGGGAGGAGGGCTCGGGAAGAGTCTATGATGAGGGAGGAGGGCTCGGGAAGAGTCTAAGAACGAGGAAGGAGGGCTCGGGAAGACTCTATGAACGAGGGAGGAAGGAGGGCTCGGGAAGAGTCTATGAACAAGGAAGGAGGGCTCGGGAAGAGTCTATGATGAGGAAGGAGGGCTCGGGAAGGGTCTATGATGAGGAAGGAGGGCTCGGGAAGAGTCTATGATGAGGAAGGAGGGCTCAGGAAGGGTCTATGATGAGGGAGGAGGGCTCAGGAAGGGTCTATGATGAGGAAGGAGGGCTCGGGAAGAGTCTATGAATGAGGGATGAGGGCTCGGGAAGGGTCTATGAATGAGGGATGAGGGCTCGGGAAGAGTCTATGATGAGGAAGGAGGGCTCGGGAAGAGTCTATGATGAGGGAGGAGGGCTCGGGAAGAGTCTATGATGAGGGAGGAGGGCTCGGGAAGAGTCTAAGAACGAGGAAGGAGGGCTCGGGAAGACTCTATGAACGAGGGAGGAAGGAGGGCTCGGGAAGAGTCTATGAACAAGGAAGGAGGGCTCGGGAAGAGTCTATGATGAGGAAGGAGGGCTCAGGAAGAGTCTATGATGAGGAAGGAGGGCTCGGGAAGAGTCTATGATGAGGGAGGAGGGCTCGGGAAGAGTCTATGATGAGGAAGGAGGGCTCGGGAAGAGTCTATGATGAGGGAGGAGGGCTCGGGAAGGGTCTATGATGAGGGAGGAGGGCTCGGGAAGGGTCTATGAATGAGGGATGAGGGCTCGGGAAGGGTCTATGAATGAGGGATGAGGGCTCGGGAAGAGTCTATGATGAGGGAGGAGGGCTCGGGAAGGGTCTATGATGAGGGAGGAGGGCCCGGGAAGGGTCTATGAATGAGGGATGAGGGCTCGGGAAGAGTCTATGATGAGGGAGGGAGGGCTCTACCCATAACCCTGTGTGATGGCAGCTGGAAGCACTCAGCAAGCAGTTTGCTACTGAACTGAGTCTCAAGGGGCAGTTGGATGGATCTGAGAAGAAATATTTAAAGACGTATCATGAGCGTAAATGTAAACTCAGCTGAGAGTATAGAAATTTCCTGAAAAGGAAGGAAACCTTTCCTGAGTGCTCCTGCCCATGAGTACGGGGATGTCTGCTTATGGCCCCAGCAGACTTTTCCCTGGTTTGGGTCAGTCTGGACATGGGTTCTGTTTTTAACTGGGGGCTTTTCACCCAGTTCTTCCTGTTCTTATAAAGCCCACACCGGGTGCCTGTCTATTCCGAGTGGAGGAGCGGACACAATGCCGTCCTCTCCCCAGTGACTAAGGTCCCATCCACTTAGGGAGCCTGGCTGTTCTCCAGCAACACGCTGAGGCCAGCAGCCTGCCTGGCCCCCTTCTGCCGTGAGTCCCAGTGACTCCGTTCTGCTCATCCCAGAAATGCTGCGACCCAGGCACCAGTGTTGGGGATGTGCTGGCAGAGACCAACCGTTCTGCACCTCAGCTATGGGTGGCAGCACACTGGGCAAGTCTTTCAAGTGTCAGGATGGCCCCACCCCGACCGCTCAGTGCACTGCTGTGTCACACACTACTGTGTCCCTCTTCCTGTAGGAATGAACAGCCTGACACAAAGACTAAGGTCGGAGGAGACAGAAACTGACAAGACCTACAGCATTTGTCTGTTCCCAAAAAGCATGTTTCACGTGTGTGTGTGTATGTACACGTAAGCACACAGACATGTGCACACACCATATGTATACCACACAATCCTCTACCCTGCTTACATTTCTAGGCAGGTGTGCATGTTTCTATATTTCTATCCACCCATCCATCCACCAGCAGAGAAAGCACTGGTGTCCACGTGGTGTCCATCTGTCAGGGATGCAGAGTCCACGCTGCTTTCACAGACAGAGCTGCCCCAAGTATGCGGACACGCCCCTCAGTGCCTGCTGGATGTGGCTGAGAGCCCCCGCGTGTTCTAGAATCCTGTCCTTCACCCTCAGGTCACCAGAACAGCACCTGCACACCAGGGAGCTCCCACTCACCTTCTCCGTCCTGAGCAGATGGGACAAAGACAGGGCCATCTGCTGGGCCTGGGGCGGTCTGAGCACCCTGCCGCCCACCCACAGGGGCCGGCTCGGGAGAAGCTGGTGGGCTGGGGAGAGGCAGTCCCGGGCGACCGGGGAAGAGCTGCCTGAGTGGGGACCCCTGCTGCTTCCCATCTCCCTGCAGCCAGTCAGCTCCCCGAATATTCCAGACCCTCCCGCAGACAAGGGGCCTGAGGACCTACGAGGGTTTCTCTTCCTACTGCGAGGTGCTGACAGGAGGAGGAAGATGAGGGTGCACTGTCCTAAGTCCAACAGACCATTTGGTAAAAACTGGCTGAGAGGAATCAAGCCACCGAGTTAACAGCTCCCGTGTGAAGGTGAGTTTGAGGGGAAAGGTTGAAAGCGAAGGAGGAGAGTATATATTTCACATATGAGGTGACATCTGTCCTTGTCTAGATTAATCACCAAGAACATCTTAAAACACAGGAAAAAAAAGGCTTCAATGTCCTTAAATCTTCCTAATTTTCAAGATCTATCCTTCAGTACATTCCGGTTCAAGATTATGGCAATGCACATAAATAACTAACCTACGTGCAACAACCTTTGCCTTGGGGTATCCCGTCCTTAAACACTGAATGCGACTGCAAACATATCCAGAACCTTCACAAAGGCCTCTCGACCTGAGGACCACAGCCGTCTAAGGCTGACCACGAAGTTTCTGGAACGGAAGCGCCCTCTCCACCTCGGTCCAGGAGGAGCATGCTCAGAGCAGGCGCGGCGCGCGCGGCCCGGGCCAGCCCACCTGCAGTATGGACACCGTCTGGGAGAAGTGGTGCTGCTCCATGGTGGACGTGGAGTAGAGGGCGGCCAGCGGGTGGTCGAATTTCTGCAGGTAGCTGTTGCTGAAGCCCCTGTGGTCCAGGTCATGACACAGACACGCGATCAGCAGTCCTTTGCGCTTTAAAAACAATACAGTGCACAGGTTTCAAAACCAGGACCGGGAAGTAAGGAGACCTTCAGCCTCTCGTTCCTGCCGCACTGACTTCTGCACTTAGCGCAGCAGCATCTTTATGAAGCTTTGAAATTCTAAATAATCTAAACTATTTTATTTAAAAAAATTTTTTCTTTATTGATTTTTAGAGAGAGAGGAAGGGAGAGGGGGAGAGAGAGATAGAAACACCGATGAGAGAGAACATCGACTGGCCGCCTCCTGCAGGCCCCCCACTGGGGATCGAGCCCACAACCTGGGCATGTGCCCTGACCGGAAATCGAACCAGTGACCTTTGGTGGAATGGAACCAGTGACCTTTTGGTGCAGGGTCCACACTCAACCACTGAGCCACACCGGCCTGGCAAGAATCTAAACTATTTTAAACGTCTCTGCTCTTCTGCTTATGGACTTGAGAGTCAAATTATTCCTGAGTTTCCTCCTCAACTCTGGGGAAAGAGTGTAGGTGGCAGCAATGGACAGAGGTGTCAAGTCACTGAGAAAGCAGATGTGCCCGAGGAGAGGGCAGTCTCAGTCCTCCACTGGAAATCGAGTCTGTTCAACTCCAACAACGCTATAGTTGCAACACATTATAAATGTGACAACTAGATCAGACAACATGTGCAAAATGGCAAAGCACATAGGAGGAGAGCGCACCAAGCAGGCTGAGGCTGGAGGCAGGCAAAGGGCAGCCATGGAGGGTCATGTGAGCAGGGGCGTGAGCACGGGGGGGGGGGGGGGGGGCAGGAGGCTCTGGGAGAAGGGAGGGCGGGAGCCGTTGGAGCACATGGTGGCAGGTGGCCTTCCCTGAGAACCAGAGGGTCAGGAAGGTGGCCCAGGGGAAGCAGGGAGAGGACAGAGGCAGACGGAGGCGGCAGTGAAGACTGTAAAGCCTTTTCCGCATGAACCAGGAATGACAACAGCTCCCTTCCCTCCAGGTGACACGTCTCCCGACGCAGGACAATCACGGAAGAGGAGGGGTCTGAGTGGGGCTGCACAGCTGCGCTGAGGCCAGTGGGAAGGACACACCTGGCGCTCCGGCTGCCCCAGGCCTGGGCCGCGTGCAGCTGGGCTGCAGTGTTTTGCTCCCCAAGCGCACTGCGAGGCCTGAGTGCCCGAGGCTGCCCCAGAACCTCCAACCCAGAGGGTGGAGAGCTTCCGGCGCAGCACCATCTCTGGGCGTGGAAAGGCCAGTAAATCAGTGAGATGGGGTGGGGCCCCTGCCACCCTGTGCAAGGGGACCACAGACGCACTTAGGTCCAATCTGCAGCCCTTCAGTGGGACGCGCCTCATATCTGGGGCACCAGGGCCATGAGGGGAATCCTTTGCTATGCCCCTTAAGAGACCTGGTAAGGAAGAAGGGCTACAGAGCTCCTGTGTCCTTAGGGGTAGCTCAGTGACGCCTGACCTGTGCCCCTGCACTCGGTACACGGACACTAGGGTACGTGCCTGGGCAGAGCCGTCTATACAATGTGTTTCCACTGATCTACAGACAAGGTTTGCCTGGAACGTGTCGCCCGTCCACACCACGCGTGCACCCAGCCATGGCAGGAAGCCACTCAGGCACTTGAGTGGGGGCCGCGGCGCGCACCTCCAGGTCGGTGAAGAGCTCGCGGTTGTTCTGCAGGATGGCGTACATGCAGTGAGCCACGGTGACCGCGTGCTTCCAGTTGTGGTACGGGACCCGCCGGTAGTTCTTCTTCACAGACATAATGAAACGACACAGCTTTTCAAGTTCGAAGCTGAGAGGAAAGAAATGAGGACAGAAGGCGGCAGTCAGTAGGCTCGGGAGCGGCCGCTGGTATGGCCACAGCTGTACTGCACACGAGAGAGCCTGAGGGTCCCGGGGACACAGCCATTTCAGAGGACGGTTCTCCAGTAGCTTCTGTTCTGACCTACCACCTGGCCAGGCAGGGAACAGGGACCAGAGGGGCCTCTGGTTCCCCATCACTCACTCCCATCCCCTCCCTTACCTGGCAAACATTCCCTACACCCACCAGCTCAGCAGACGACATATTACCATCTGATGAAGAGTACTGTGAACTACTATTTTCCAAAAAGCATATTCAGATTCACAAACTACAAATAAGTATACAATGAGAATTTTCCAGATGAGTGACTATCCTTTCAAAACGAATCCAAATGATATGGTACTCAAATTATTAGTGGCACATGACTAGATCCAACTCAGTGCATAACAGAAATGACATTTCCTGTATAGAACAGGGTTATTATATTTTGTTCTGTGTTATCACGTGTTTATAATCATTTAAGGTTTCCCAACTCTCTCAGCTGGAAACAAAGGCATTCAGCGCAAAGCAGGGCTCTTTGAAATACCAAAGAAATGAGAGTTTAAAAACCTCTCAAAATAGGTAGCCTGTATCTTCTCCGCTGAAAATGTTCAAATGTTTATAAGGTGTGTCACTTTAAGACTCCCTAAAGGTCAAACCTTCCACTGAGAGCCAATAATTGACTCAGTTATCCTGTGGACATCCTTCTAAAACAGGCATTTGTAACAGTCGCTGACGATCTAAGAGAACACGCAGACTCGATAGTCCTACAGAAACTAAGAGCCCCTCTTAGCCATCTAGTGAGAAAATGAGCGGAAGAAGGAAGACGACTCCCCGAGGCCAGAGCAGGGTGAGGAGGACAGATGGGCACTGGAAGCCGTGCCACTAACAAGCTCCAGACCTGGGCCACGTGACTTCCGTGTCCCTATTCTGACCGACACAAAATGGAAGCTGAAAGTTGATGCGAAATGTATGCACACACTCCCAAACACACTTAAAAGAGTGTAGTTATGTTGAGCGGTAACCTGTCTTTCAGCTAAACAGCCTGAGTTTGTTCGGCCTCCACTGAAGCACCCCCTGGTCACACACGAGCTGTGCGCCGAGGGGCAGCCCACCGCCCCTGCAGCCTCTCCGGGAATGCGGGCAGCTGCGGCTCCGCCCAGCAAGTGCATTGACCTCTTTAACCTCAATGTGTAGGGAAAGCATTTACATATGGCAGAATTCGATAACCAAGGAAGTGGGGAGGCATACAGCAGGGGAGGACTAGTCCTAAAAGGAAGTCTGTAGGTCATTCATACCAGGATGTCCCACAGGAACGGTGGATCATATAGACAAAAATTCCAGGCCACATGTTTTCAAAAGGACCGATGTCAAAGTGGAATCTGAAATGGAAAAAGAAGGCTCAGCTTATTCCTAAACACAACAGTACAGACGGAATGGCAATAGAGAGAACACTGTGACCTCCGTCTGCGAGAAAGGGAAGCAGCGGGGTTCCGCCGCCTCCCCGCTCTCCCCGCCCTGCGTGTGGGAAGGTCTCCAGGGGGACCCACACAGCCCTACGGACTTAGACCCGTATCTGCGTAATTTTCTATGAACGATCTGTAAAGAAAGGATGTGTGGTTACCACCAGAGTAAGGAATAAGTACAAAATTACATTACGAATAGTGCACATACATCAAACAACTCAGAGATGGGGGGACCTTATCAAACTATTTTAGAGTTGAAAATTATCTCCTAATTAAACGCAGAGAAAAATTTCATAAATGTAAACATCCAAAGTTATTACCTATTTTCATCTGTTAACTTAGAGTTGCTAACATTAGCCCGAAGACAGAGTGGTCATGGTGCAGTATTAAAAGAAGCCACTGTTCTCTACACTTCCACACCAGAGGCCTGTCTACACCACGCAGTCCTCCACCCTCTGTGGACACCTGCCGAGGTTCTACGACTCAGCTCACCCCGACACTACCTGGGATCAGACAGACCCCACAGGTTACGTGCTGGGTCCTAAAGACTGCCCCTCAGCTCAGTTAACAATTCCAAGTCCTGGCCACCCCGGTTTCTGACCAACCAGCTGTCCAGGAGAGGTCCGATAATGCTGCAACAGCTCACAGAACTCGGGAAGCCCCACTTGCTCTCAGGGTTCATTATAAAAGACACGTCAGGAAGAGCCGAGTTTTGTGGGCAGGGGCACAGAGCCTCTGGGCCCTCTCCAGTCTCCCCACCCACCATCCCGGGACTTCGATGCCCACACCACGGGACAGCTCACAGCCTCATTCAGGGTTTTCCTGGAGGCTCCATTCCAGAGGCACAACCAAGTCCCTGGGCTTTGATGACTACCTCGTCCCCACCCCATCACACGCTTGTTCCTGACACCCAGACCCCGTCCTCTAAGAGTCTTTCATTGGCATAAACTCCTGTGTATGAAAGAGTTTTATTACAGACAAGGAAAGACACCCTGTCATCCATATCAGGAAGATTTTAAGAGCTCCTGCCAGGAAATAGCTAAAAGACCAAAATATATATACTTCTTATCATAGCACAATATGCACCATTAAAAGATAAACTAAGGCGTATTTAAAATTTTAAGAGGTGATTTGGGCAAACATAAATTCAGCCCTGGCAGCACCAACCCAGGGGCCAGGAGAGACACACAGAGAAGGGGGCAGCAGAGAGGAGCCCACTGATTGGCTGTAGCCAGTGTGAAGCCTGCAAGGAGCTCACTGATTGGCTGCAGCATGAAGCCTTTGGGCGGGGCTGGCCTCAGGGTTTCCACTTCCACCAGGGCAGTGAGGCCCCCAAAGCCTCGTGCCCTCCCTGCCTAATTGCACCGTCTCCTTATTATAAGGCCACTGCTGCTCTGGGCCACTTCGGAGGATTTCTGTGTGGTTAAATACCGTTTGCTTATGCTTAGGATGGGCATGCAAACTATCACAGGTTCTTCCACCAGTGATCAGCATATATAGCACAGGACTGGAAAAGAAAGTGTGAAAGTTTAAGATTATTAACTTCTCAAATTTAATTTGTAAATTAAAATGTATGCGGAAAACATTTAGATACCTGACATTAAATGCCATTCAAATATGAAATAGCATTTAGTGTACAAAAGACTAATGAGGAAAGCTAACGTTTAACTCATTTCAACATTGCGTTCGGATGTTTTTCGGAGATGGTGAGACCTGGGCCAGCTGTGTCAGGACCTGGGAGCACCTAGGAGGGGAAACGGCGACGTGAACGAGCACCTGTCACAGGGCCGGCCGAGCGACCACCCCCAGAACCGGCGCACCGAGCTCCCGCTCCTGCACGGAGGCCGCCCTGTCCGCCGGGCACTCACAGCTCGATCTCCTTGCAGAGGCGCAGGGGCAGCGTGAAGCGCATGAGGCCCTGCCCCTCCTGGGCCGTGCGACCACCCCCAGAACCGGCGCACCGAGCCCCTGCACGGAGGCCGCCCGCAGGCCCTGTCCGCCGGGCACTCACAGCTCGATCTCCTTGCAGAGGCGCAGCGGCAGCGTGAAGCGCATGAGGCCCTGCCACTCCTCGGCCGTGCAGATGCTGTGGTAGGACAGCTTCTCCATGGTCACGCGGTAGATGCACTCCGAGTGACGGATCCTGTGGTACATCTGGAAAGCAGACCGGGAGAGGAGATGCCATCAGTTCAGGATCTGATGTGAAAGAATCGGAACTGCAAGGGAAATGACTACTACTATCCCTTCACTGATTTCCCGTCTATTTCTGCTCGTTTCCACAAACACTGGAGATGCCTACACATGTGCCTATGAAGACGCAGTTACTAAGTCTGTTTCACAAGACAGAGTGGCCCCGTAACGAGTGTCTTTTTAGCAGACATCCTCTCTGGGCGGTGAGAACGCTGGACCTCACCGCACACCTCTCTCGGACCCCCAGCTGCCGGGGCTGTGGAAACCCATGCCTGCTGCCCCCAAGCCGCCCGGTCTACTCCGGTGCTTTTGTTATAGCACCTGAACGGATGCAGACAGCGACTAAAGGACTCAAGAGTTACGGTATTTTTCCCTGTCTCCTTTTAAAATATGTAGCTTAATTCTTGGAGACCTCAAAGTCCTCCAGTCTAGGGTGTCTCTAAAAGGTTTGATTGTGAAGTCCTTTGTCAGTAAAGAACCTTGGAGATGCCTGCCCAGGTGAGGTGTGCATTCTTCAGCAAGTGTGCGCATGCACTGTGCTGAAATGTTCTCTATACTATCAAACACAACCTAAAATAGAAATCTTAAACAGTTTATATTTTTATGTCTTACTGAACAAGATCTTTTGTTCTTACTAAACAATTATACATTATAAAAGAAAAACACTAATTAAATGTGTGTTATCAGTTGTGAAACCTTATCTTTACTACTCTCTGAGATGGTGACATCAATGGCGGGCTCGGTTTAACTGATCTCAACTCTGACTTCAGTTACAGCATTTGAGGAAGCTGTGCCGGAAAGGGCTGGTAATGGCAATCCTGGCTGTTCCTAAACATCCACGTCCATTCTGCTCACTGATGCTAATATTTTGGTTGAAATTCATGTACATCTCTATTTTCACTAATTTCAATCACTTAATCCTGAAAACTAATCAGCTGACTCTTTACATAAAGGGGTGGGTGAAGGTAGGTGTACAATTGTGGTATCTATTTTCAAAGAGCTCTCTTTATGACATGAGTTTATTTGGAAAAGCAATTATTTTCTTGTTCAATGTTAATGACCCTGGGCAAATTACTGAAGCTTCATGGGTCCATTTTTTCTTATGTCAGTGGAAATAGTAACAACTCTGTCCAGGAATGTTGTGAGACTAACTGAATGAGTTTTTAGAGGTGGAGAGTCCAGGACAGTGCCTGTCCCAGAGGAAGTGTCACCATCTGAGAACAGTGCTTAGCATGGTCATCTTGTATCCACCACCTGGTGCAGAAAAGATGCTCAAAACTTGGCAGCTGAATGATTACCTGTTGAAACATTTATTCAATTTGTCCCTAGTCAATTGGTTTCAACCTAATATTCTGTCCGCACTCCTTAGATGTTAAATGTATCTGATCCACAGTGTGCACGGAGCTAATCTGCTTTTTCACTTTTTTTCTTTATTGATTTTAGAGAGAGAGGAAGGGAGAGGGAGAGAGAGACAGAAACATCAATGAGAGAGAACATGGATTGGCCGCCTCCTGCACGCCCCCCAACTGAGGATCTGACCCACAACCTGGGCATGTGCCCTGACCAGGAATCGAACCAGCAACCTCTTGGTGCAGGGTCAATGCTCAACCACTGAGCCACACCGGCCGGGCTGATCTGTGTTTAAAAGTTCCTCTTTCTGGGCAAAAGTACAGCAGGGATTACTGTCCTGCTGGCTCTGAAGCATGCCTGTCTCCTTACGGTCATACTAGGTACGAGTAAATCAATGGACCGCTTTAGTTTTAAAAGACTCTTTCAGTCTTTTACATGGCCATCCTTCCGTTGCTAGTACCGTCAACTATTAAAAATAAAATAGAGGTGTCGATCAGAAACCTGGCCCTTTAATCCAATGACAGGGGTAGAATCTAACAGAACTACAGATGAACAAAAGAAAAATTAAGTCACAATGAGTGTCTGGGTGGCCCATGTGTCTGGCCTTGCAGATAGGCCTATGAACCAAACAAGACCACTGAGCAGAACAACAATAAGATGAGCTGTCATGTGGCAAGTCAGGACTAGATGCGATTTCCACACAGGAAACGTGCTCTTGTTAAAGATACAGTTGTCTAAGAGCAGAAGCCGTCTGAATTTCCCAGGACCCACACCTAACCTAACTCAGAAACATCCAGCAGTTACGAGACATTTCACGCTGCACAGAGCCCTTCACATTTACGATCTCACAAACGTGGATGTACGTTCTCTAGAAACAAGAAGCAAGCACACCGAAGGAAAGACGAGGTGCTGCAGACAGGACTAGGTGCTGGGACCATGCTCAGCCAAGGGTACTTCTGTCATCTGCACAGGGCGCTCGGAGGGAGATACACAAACAGCACAGCAAACTCGGTCGGGAGAAAACCTCATGCACGCGGCAGCGTGAGGACTGGGGCTCAGGTCCTGGCCCCCACTCTGGTGCTCTGTGAACATGTTCCACTGAGGAAGGTTCTGGGGCCTGGGTAAGAACCAGCCGCCATCTCCCTGAGACGGACATGAGGAGGAGTGCTCCTGTATTTAAGGACCCTTCGTCCTCAACACAGCAAGAAGTGTTCCTTGAAAGAGATGGGCCTGGCCTCCCCGAACTGCAGGGGTCCGGGCACGCCGGCACCCACTCGGGCACAGGCTGGAGCCGGGAGGCAGGTGAGAAGGCTGTGACCTGGGTTCGAGCTGCAGAGACTCGGGGACAGTGTGATTCCTGAGCACTCAGGAGAAGGCACTGCAGTAAAAAGGGAAGAGGTAAGCACCCCAGAGAGCTGAAGCTTCGTGCACAGATGTCAACATGCACCCCCTCCAGGCCACGGATCCTGGGTCCCCTTGAACCCAGGACCGGAGAGCATCCCGCCCAAACAAGCCCAGCAGGCGATGACCTGACGTGACCACCAGCACACATTGCCTGTCACTGCTGGAGGCAGAACAATTACAAGTTATTTCCAAGATGTGTATAAAAATTCCAGTCATTTTACCCTAAATAATTTACCTAAAATAATCTATGTAAATGGAGGAGGGCTATGAAGTTAGACATGACTTTTCAGAAGGAATGTTGTTTTTCTTGTTTGATTTCGGATTTTTCTATATATATAATCACTTAATCACGATCAATTCCAGGTTCAATGATGCAACAACCAATGGATCAGAAGAGCACCGAACCCCCTGGGCCAGCCCCTCTGACAACAGCCGAATTAACTCAGCCGTGTTGAAACTGGCATTTTCTTGGAAACACACAATCATTCTTCAAGGGCTGCTGGGACCAGGGTGGATTTTAAGAGCTTCAATTTCTATCTCCTTAACTTTCACACTTACTCTTAACTGAAAATGAGTTTTCCCCACCTCACCTTTCAAAACAACCCCTTTCCCCAACTGCCCTCATACAAAAAAAAAAAAAACTCTTGGAACAGAGGGGCCGTTTAAGAGCCGTGCCGGTGGGGCCACAGCTCTCCCGAAGCTCCCAAACAGGGCCCGACCGACCCGAACACACTTTCCGCTAACTGATCACTCAAAACCATTTTCGGTGAGGGAACTATCAGTACTTTGGGCGTCTTAGCTGTTTGGAGTTCAGTTTCAGAGAAACTACAATCACGAAACTCATCCTGCAATTCTTATGGCTCCTCAGACATAAAAGGGGCAGCAAGGCGCCCAGCTGACGCTGGAGCATGGGACGCAACCTCCTCGATGTCAAGCCAGGGTGAGAGGTGGAACAGACGCAGAAGGGGCTGGTGGTGCTGGCCGGGAGCTGCCAGTGCGCACCTCAGAGAGACAGAAGTGGACACGGGCTTCCACGTGCTCTCTCGGCTACAACAGACACAGGAGGAAGTCCCAGCGGAGAGACCTAATGGGGGGTGTCACCATCACCAGGAACGGGAGGGGCCTGCCTGCAGGGGTTCAGAGAACACATCACTCTGTGATGTTCCGTCAAAATTACTACCTCAAAATAAGGACAGAAACACCAGACAAACCAAATTAACACTCCTCAAAATAATCTGGTCCCTGTGCTTTAAACCGCTCCAGCCTTGCAAGGCAGAGAGGAGGGTTCCTGATGGAAGAGGGATTCCTGATGGAAGAGGGGTTCTTGATGGAAGAGGGGTTCCTGATGGAAGGGCTGAAGAGGCCTGCAGCGCAGGCAGAGCAGCCAGGACCTGTTGGGGCTCAATGTGTCCCCAAAACGCAGACGTTGAAACCCTAGTGCTTAAGATGCGATCGCATGTACAGCGAGGGTCTTCAGAGCAGAGACTGAGGTGCAATGAGGCCCACAGGTGGCCCTGATCCAATGCAACCAGAGTCCTGGTCGGGAGGTGAGAAGACAGACCCGAGCCGAGGAGCGCCCACAGGAAGCCCAGGGAGGCCACCTGCAAGTCCAGGGGAAAGGCCTCGGAGGGACCAAGCGCACCTACACCTTGAGCTTGGACTTCCAGCTGCCGGCAACTGTGAGAAAATAACTTTGCTGCTTGAACCACCCAGTCTGTGGTAACTGTTATGGCAGCCCTACCAGATGAGGATGGCACCAGTATAAAGTTCTTGATTTCTGAAATCATGCAGTGGAAAAATAAGATGTCCTTATTTTTACAATTACAAGCCAAAGTGGTTAGGGGTTATGAGACATTTTGTCTGAAACTTATTCTCAAACATATCAGAGAAAGACGATCTCGAGAAAGAGAAGGATGGAGGAGAAAGAATGTCAAAGCACGTGGCAATATATTAATATCTGAGGAGCTTGGGTAAAGGTATAAGGTAATTCTTTGTACTATTTTTGAAACTTTACTTTCAAAAATAAAAAGTATTAAAAACTCAGGCTACACCTAGTTTCTTTCTAACAAAAACTTATATGTGGTATGTTAACTATTTTTGTTTTAAGCCACAGTCATCTTTGTACTTTAAAAAAATTTGATTAAAAGATCAACTTGCTGTTCCAGTTATTTATGCATTTCATCGAATTCTTGTGTGTGGCCTGACCAGGGAGCGAACCTGCAGCCTTGATGTATCAGGACGATGCTCCAACCAACTGAGATACCTGCCCAGGGCCTATACTCTTTATTTTTGATAATTATTTATCAAAATTTTATAGCATGGTTGCTTTGATCACATATATACCAATAAAGCTCACAAAACAATACTAATATGACATATAATATACTACCATAACCCCAAACTTTTAATACTTAGGGTAAAGATTTGTTTCAGAATATTATCTTAAAGTAAGTATTAAAATATTTAAACATACTGTATTAGAATAACCTTTGTGGGGTAATGGAAATGCATGTTCATGCCCTGGCCGATTTTGCTCAGTGCTTAGAGCATCGGTCCGTGGACCAAAGAGTTGTGGGTTCAATTCTGGTCAAGGGCATGTACCTCAGATGTGACCCAGTCGCCGGCCACGGTCACCAGGGTCATGTGGGAGGAAACCAAACCATGTGTCTCCCTCACATCAATGTTTCTCTCTCCCTCACACTCTATTGAAAGATAAAATGGAAAAATATCCTCAGGTGGGGACTAAAAAAATAAAAATAAAGGTTTTAAGAAAGAAATACATGTTCAGAGAGAAGAATGATGTTGGATTTTCCAGTCATATGAGCCTGTCACTGGCTTTTTAAATGGACAGTACAAGTCGCTACAGCACTTAGAGTCCACTGGACTTGTTTAAAAGATGATGAAAATCATTATTCAGAATATACTGGGAGTTACGTTCTCTGCAGCTTTTAAGCTAAGCAAACATAAGCGTCACTACGTTTTTTTGTGTTTTTTTTTTAATCCTCACCCGAGGACATTTTTCAGTATTTTGTTCAGATAGAGTGGGAGGGAGAGAGAGAGAGAGAGAGAAACAGCGACGTGAAAGGGAGACCTCGAGTGGTTGCCGCCCACACAACCAACCAGGGCCGGGGACAAACTGCAACCGAGGTATGTGCCCTTAGCGGGAACCGAACCCGGGTCTCTCCAGACCGCAGGCCGACGCTCTAACCACTGAGCCAAACCGGCCAGGGCGTGCCACTATTTTTATTTATGAAAGAGAGAAAATGTTTGAAGCAAAAAGATAGCTGATACCACTGATTTCCAATGAGCCGAGTAACAGGGCCCCGAAGAGGTGCCCTGTGCTGCAAAGGCAGCGGGAGCTCAGGGACCCGCACCACCCGAGTTGAAATCCTTCCCTCCAGTCGCTGAAGAACAGTTTTTCGCCAGTTTTGTTCTTAGTTCCACTAAGCTGTTTCCACTGGTTACAAGGTTAATCCTGCGGAACCTGGTTCTATTTCCAAAAGGGCGATTTCTCTAACTTATTAAAGTGATTAATTCCCATTTCTATTGATTGAGCTTTATAAAAAGGTTAATAAACTGTTCCCTAACTGGGAAATTCCAGGAGTGTCACTAGAGAAATCCAAATAGCATACTAAATGTTCAACTCATTTGGAATGTGAAAATGTGAGAAAAAGATGACGGACTCAACAACTTAACAGTGAGACTTGAGCTGGGCGCAGGCCCACTGTTACTGGGCAAGCAGGCGGGATGGTGAGGGCCCAGCGACACCGTGAGCACCTGACGGCCAGCTGAGCAGCGGCCGGCTTCTCCTTGCCAAGCACCTGTCCTGGCTGGTCTCCGACATGGGCCCTCCTCCCTCGGTGCAAATGCGGCACACAGGACAGACAGGCTGAGCAACGTGTCCTTGTTCACGTCAGCAGGCACCATGAGATAGAAACCTTACGTTTGAACATTTTACCTTTAACTTCATTTTTAAAAAACAAATTTACACCTTGAAATAAATGGAAAATGTTAGGGATTATTTTTCTTCCAAGGCATTTTAAGGCTTTCCCTAAAGCATGAGTCACCGGGGATCAGTGTTTGGTTTACGAAGGAAACTTAAATGGAAAACCACCCTTAAATGACTTCACTTCAAAGGTCCGAAGACGGACACGGCGGCGGGAAAGGCACGGAAGGAAGATTGCTCACGTTGGCACAGTGCAAGGCCAGAGCACAGAAGACGGCAAACATTTTGAAGTTGTTCTCGTCCGTCTTGGAGAAGGCACTTCCGCTGACCTTGTTCACCATCTGCACCACGCCGATCACGCTGCCTCGGCTCACAATGGGCATGCACAGGATGTTGCGGGTGGTGTAGCCTGTGTACAAGTCCACCTCTCTGTGGGAGGGCGAGGGACAGACAGCACCACAAAACACACACACACACAAAGCAGAAGATGAACCACATACTCTACTATAGATCTCGACTCAATTTGCAATTTACATGCTTCGATTACAAAGACCTGAATGAAACTGTCAGCTTCCAAATCCAAGGACCGACCATGTGGCATCTGCAAGGGTCTCATTAAATCTTTTCATAAATATTCTAGCCAGTTTGTTCTTTTGTTTCCAAAAGTTTTTCAGAACAGTACCCAGACCTTCAGCTTATTGTTAGGTTCTGAATACCCAGCATTACCAAGAAAACACAGTGTCCATTCCGAGGAAAACAGAACACGCGTGGTAGGAGCACACGTGGCAGGAGCGGGCTGCTCTGAGCTGGGCTGTCCTCAGAGAGAGGACTTGCTCAGCAAACACTAACGGGCGCTGAGACAGGGCCAGAGCCAGCCTTCCGCCTGTGAACAGGCCCTGATGAAACGCGACCACCCACTGCCCCAGGAACTGCCACCAGCCTGCAGCAGGGACATCGTGGCCCAGCGGACAAGGTCTGCCAGCTCTGAGGACAAGACCCCGTCCGCAGAGGCAGCTGCGTGACTGAGGGCAGCTGCTGGAGAGGAGCCTGTGCCTGGCTTCGCACTGAGGCGAAGGGCTTGGCAGCATCCACGTTGCTGCATGTTTCAGGGCCCTGTCTCTGGTGTGGATGCATCACCTTTCCTCTGTCCCTTCGCCAGGTGATGGACATTCCTGCTGGGTAGCAGCCAGCGTGTGGCAATCAGAATAGTGCTGCTCTGAAGACCTGCACGCACATCTGTGCGGACAGACAACACCACTTTCCTCAAGGGTCCCAGGAGTGGGGCTGACTGAGTGCAGTCAGCACTGGCCTAACTTTAGGAGAAACTGCGCAGCTGTGTTCTGAACCGGCTGTGCCGCTGCTCACGCCCGTCAGCAGGGCCTGAGCATCCCTGCCCCGCACCCGCGCCCACACTTGCTCGTGTGGATCTGTGACACTTGAGCCACTTGAGTCAGTGTGCAGTGGGATCTGACTGCCGGTTACATCCCCTCAGGTCAAACAGCTCAGCCTGTGCTCATCAAACCGAGTCAGCTAGTATGATGTGAGGAGCATTGTTTACGTATTCTGGATATAAGTATTTCGTCAGACATGTGTTCGTGAATATTTTCTCACAATCTGTTACTTGTCTTTTCATGTTCTTAATACTTGACCTAATTATTTTTATATAAAGGTTTTATGAAAGGACATATAAGTATTTTCAATATTTAAGCACTAAAATAGCATTTGGGTTTTTTAAAAAAAATTGTCAGCATATTCTTTATCGATAAAACATACGACTAGGATATATCTGTGCTCATATACAAGTTGTGTATATTTGACATTAATCAAATACCTGATAGACCTTCCTATTATTTATTTTATTTATGTATCACTTAAAGTAAACTGAATGTTGATTTAACTGAACACTCTGGTCAAAATATCTGAACTATTACTCCCTAATAATCATGGTATCAATATTAAGACTCAATTTCTAGAGATTTCTTAAAACTATATAATTTGGTTTCTAGTTCTCTAAAGAAACACAAAACAAAACAGTCTTTCTAAATTCTCCTAATCTGACTTATATAACATCTGATAGAAACAACAATGTTCTCAGTTCCTACTCTGTGTCTGGTGAAGTTGACAGACATTTATAAATATATTCTGCAATCTTAAGAACAAAAACAAATACAAAATAAGCATGGTTGTGCCCACTTTAAAGATGAGGAGGCTGAGGCTCAGAGACTCACTTACTCCATAACCCCAGCACCCATGAATGACAGAACAGGAATGCAAAGGCACTTTTATCACTGTGCTATACAGTCTTTCAGAGTATGCTCAGGACAAAATGATGGCATTACAATGAGAAAAAAAAGGCAGTTTCATAAATTTAAATCGTTGCTTTCTTCTTGTTTTCACCCACTCTGACCCCGGAGCGGGCCTCACGGTGGCGCCAGCGCCGAGCACCGGAGAGCACTGCCCTGACGGCAGAGGTGGGGGGGCGGGGGGGCGGGGCGTGGGCGCGGCGGCAGGGCGGGCCCAGCCCGGACAGGGGAGCCACAGCTCAGGCAGGCTGCGCTGCTCTACCTGTTGAAGCGCGGGTCTGCGTAGGCGTCGGGGATGTTCAGGACCTCCCCCGTCCTCGCCACCTGGCCAGCGATTCCTTTCTCAATGGAGAACCTGCACACACGAAAGAGAGGAACACGCTCATCAAAACACAGCTGTTGCAACATGCTTGAAACAGTTCACTACCACCAAATACTACATGGACAGGCACTGCAGCACTTTAAATGCTTAGATTAACTTTACATTTGCTTATTCTGAATCATCTTATTATTACAAAATATGCAAAGGTAAAGCAGAAAAACACTGCACAGTAACACTAGAAAACCCTTGATTTAAATATAACTCAAAATATATAAACTTACTGAATCACAAATTCAGACTGAAAATTAATCAGCATTGTCCTGCACTGACAAATAGAATCCTTATGCAGCAAAGTAGTCACAGCGTAGATGCCAAACACGCTTCAGCGTAGATGCCGAGAGCTAGTTCTCACGGTGGTGCGAGCTGAGGCCCACGTGGGGACTGCTCAGCGGGTCACTCAGCCTCTAACGTCAGCAGCCGAGGACAGCGCAGCACGGCCAGCAGCGTGCTCTGCCACACGCACAGCCAAGCCCAGGCCTGTGTGACCTGAGCTACGATCCAGACTGGAATTTTAAAGGCATTTGCGACATAGCACTATACAAAATAACACAATTTAAAACTTCCACTGTTTTTACTTCTCTAGTTTGTTAAATTTAAAAATAGTCAAAACACAAGCATTATCTGAATATACCTAATTACGTTTTGATATTTAATATCAACGTGTTCTATCATAAATACATTCTCTCATAGTTTTCTGATTACAACATTATCATCAGCCATGCACTCATTTTGAAATTTAGTGACAAAGACGCCTGCGATCCACAACATCGTCATATTTCTATAGCTGGAAAATAACTTTCATAATATTACATCTTCAACATTATGGGGGATAATCATTATTGAACTAAAGCTCCACCCAAATAATTTTCACTAAAAAACTTGAAAGGAATTGATACAAACACTTGAAACACTGAGCGGTGACCCCACACAGCATCCACGAGGGCGGCTCAGGCCCTGGCGCTCTCGTGCTGTGACGAGCGCGAGCAGGACACAGTGACGCCGTGAGCAGGGTCAGAAGCCACTGCAGGCTTTGTGCTGGATTTCTTGGTCGGGTGGTCTGACTGTCCCTCTATTCTGTATTGCAGGCAACTGCCCTGCATACGTGGCTGGGTCCCCAGTGGGCGGGCAGAGCCACACCCAACCACGTGCCCCTCCCTGCCCCTAGCGCTGTGGGCACGGGCTCCCAGGGAGCTCTGAGCACTGACACGGGGAGCAGAGCCTTCGGTAAGAGAAATGACGTCACCTAAATGACTACGTCCAGGCTGGCTGCCTGGGATCTGAAAAACAGACCCACCAAACTATCACAACTAACAAAACTACACACAAGCCAGAGTTAGAGTGTGGAATACAGGACCCGGCACCTAGCACCTAGGACTGCAGAGCCAGATGTGCTCCGTGGGGGACAGTGGTGAGGTGTCTACAGATCACACCACCCCTTCACACCGGGTGAGTCAGTCCCTTCCTCTGACGGACAGCCCAAGTGAACAGCAACTCTTAGTGAATAAGGAACACGGCTTTCCTGGGATGCTGTAACACTAAAGCACTTTTGAGTATAATGAGGAAAGTACTTAAGGCACATAGAGCAAATAAATAAAATTATATCTAAAAAGAAATCCACGTTTGCATGTTCAACGTGACTCCTGGAGTTCTAGAATAGTGCTCCGTGCAGGTGTTCGGATGTGGCGTGATGGAGCCACCAGCCCCCAAACCGAGTCTGTTTACCCGGCTCCCTGACGCCGCGCCAGTACACCAGTGCCCAACTAACCACCCGCTCCATGGCAGAGGAACGGCTGCGTCACCAAACACTGCAGCTCAGCTCCCGCGTGGTCGGGACTTCGAGGTAACCCTGCTCCTAGACACAGGAAAACCTGCAGACTCCATCCAGGTGGGTGCACCTTTACCTACCTGGGAGCACTAGTAAGGTTTTCCAACATGATTTCCAAAAGGACCGCCTCCGGAAGACGGCATTTCCAGGAGTGACGCTAAAGCTTCCCAGGCGCGGTTTGGCGGGCACTGCCATGTCATTCCCAGAAGCACTACCTTCAGGAGGCGGGTCCTGGTGGGAATGATATCACAGTATGACAAGAACTGTCAGCGCACCTGTGAAAGGCACAGAGCAGTGGTGACAGAACACCTGTACCGCTGCGCACACAGCGCACGAGTCTGCTGCTTGCTGTACCTGATTTCTTTGGTCTTTTTGAAGATGGGCTTTCCCTCCTTTTCCTCTCCAATATCAAAAAGGTCTGAATACAGCTCCTGGTTCTTGTGGTCCACCTGGAAGAGTGCGCAGCGGTCTGCGTTCACCAGGTTCTTTGCGTATATCTGAAGACGGTAAACAGAGTGAGCCGGTGAGAAACTCAGAGTTTGCAGGTAAACTTCACCAGAAATAAATATCCACTGCAGCTATTCCATACTCTGACAGGGTGGGAAATCGGCAGCACACTTAAATAAACTAAGGTGCACACACACAAAATATAAAACACAGCCACCCAATGAGCTCCCACTAGCGGACAGCAGCGTGAGCAAGTCAGCAGCTGCTGAGCGTCCACCTTGGTGCTGGGCGTCAAAACACAGTCAAGCCTTGAACAGACCCTCACACAGTCTAACATCCATGTACGACTTTTGACTCCTCCAAAACATAAGCACACCAGTTGTCCCTTGATACCCAGGGGACTGGTGTGGAAGCCCAGGGACGCTCAAGCCCTGATCTACCAGCGGTTTTCAGCCGCTGAGCAGGACGGCTTAAACATGCAGTCCTGACTCCTTAGTCAGGGCGTGGACCTCCCTCCCTTCGACTGTCAAATTTAAAAAAAAATGACAACAGCTTTCCAGTGTGAATAAATCAAAACTACACTTATTTTTTGTCAGATCGGCAAAATAGGGACTCTTTGGCACGCCCAGAACGTCAGCGATTAGTCAGCACACGCACAGGTGGGACAGGTGGGGACCGCTGCTCCCGGCAGCAGCACCGGTCAGCGCATGCAGCTGTCCCTCCACGCTGCAGACTCCCCGCCCGGATGGAAAACAGTGCAGGTGCTCACTGAGAACACCCGGTTTCAGTGGCCTGCACAGCTCACGAGCGGTTCAAGGGCGAACCGCACCCACACACGTCGCACGTGCAGGAAGGCCTCCAGTGGCCGAGCTCCCTAGGAGTCTGTCCGCCCCAGCCCCCTTTCCAGACGCTGTCAGATCCCCTCGCCCCGCCCGCCCGGTGCCCTGCTGGAGCCTCTGCCTGCTCTGAGGGAAGCTGCCACTCTGACTAGTGGGGCTGTGACACGCCAGCTGCAAAACACAGGAGATGTGAGAGGCACACAGCGTTCCCAGCTTATTTGTGGCCTAGTCTGGTAACAGCGTGTATCGATTATTAAGTGTTTGGTAAGTGCCATTTTACTCACTTTATGTGCATTAATTCACATACTCCTCGCAATGACAATATTAAGTCAGGGAAAGTTTTATTTCCACCTCACACAGTGCTGGGGAAACTGAGACACAGAGGGATTACCTGTCTACCGTCATGGCCAGTAAACGGCAGATCGAGTATTTGAACTCATCCTAGCTGTTTCAGTGGCCTACACGTTTGTAACAAATATACTTTTCCATTTCTGAAGGAAAAATTGTGTATTCACTTCATCATTCTTTTGTGTATCGATTTCCTTCAACAAGTATTTCTTTAATGCCTATCAGACCCCACAGACCCCGATAGGTAGGGACTACAGTTCAGTGGCAAGCGCCACATGTACTTATATTGCGAATCCTGACCACCTCATCCCTCCAGATGAGAGGTGTGAAATCACTCCTTAGAGGAAAAGAAGGAATTCTCAGAATCACAGGCAGCACAGAGCCTGCTTGGGAGGGACGTGAGCCACCTTGTGGCCAGAGGAAAATATGCAGCCTCATATAAAATTAGCTTGCAGATCTCCGGCAAACAAATCCAAGCTGGCTAGGTACCCCATTAGGCACCTGGCTCCATTCTCCTGTTCTGGGCATGCCTTATGCTCTTTCCTCCACTTACTCACTCACAAACACCGGCGGGTCTAACAGGCCAGGGAACGAGCGCACAGGGTCGTATGTGTATCAGAATTTCCAGTCCGCTTGTCTCCCTCATTACCCTGCGTTCTGGGACAGCAGAAACGGCACCTCTCTACTGCGGTGTTCCACTGGTCAAGAACAAGGCCTAGAGCACAGGTCAACTAAAGTACACTGGCCACATCCAGCCCACTGTCACCTGTCATAGATAGTCTTAGTGGGACACAGCCATGCTCATTCCTTCATGTGTTGTTTAGAGCTGCTGTACTTGGCAGAGCTGAGTAATTGCATAGAGTATGGCCCATGAAGTATGGCCCACGAAGTATGTGGCCCACAAAGTATGGCCCACAAAGTATATGGCCCACAAAGTATGGCCCACGAAGTATATGACCCACGAAGTATATGGCCCACAAAGTATGAACCACAAAGTATATGGCCCACAAAGTATGGCCCACGAAGTATGGCCCACAAAGTATGGCCCACAAAGTATATGGCCCACGAAGTATATGGCCCACAAAGTATGGCCCACAAAGTATATGGCCCACGAAGTATATGGCCCACAAAGTATGGCCCACAAAGTATGGCCCACAAAGTATATGGCCCACGAAGTATATGGCCCACAAAGTATATGGCCCACAAAGTATGGCCCACAAAGTATATGGCCCACAAAGTATGGCCCACAAAGTATGGCCCACGAAATATGGCCCATGAAGTATGTGGCCCACGAAGTATATCTGGCGCTTTACAAAACCACTTGCCAAGCCTGAGGCATGGCCTAAGACTCAGTAAATATCTGGCGAAGGGCGAAGGGCATCACGTCTGGGCAAAGGGACGGCACGGTGCTGCTGGAATGCACAGAAGAATCACCCATCCATGTGGCAAATGCATGAGAACTTGAATTACTAAATAATAATAATAATAACCCTGTACTACTGGAGATTAAATTAGCTACAGCAAATGTGCATTCCTGGTGCCCAGGGTCATGTTAGTTGTTTAATACTCTGTGACATGTTTATGTTAATAATTATAAAAATCTATATAAAATGAATACTTTTCTAGAAAAAGGAAATGAACTTAGGAGATGAAAAGTCGAAATAGATGCAGAATCATAAAGACAACTAAAAAACTGTCAAAAAGTTATACCCATAAAAGGCATCAGGCCCAAAAGATTTCAAATATAAATTTTTAAAGAATCTTTGACAAATAAATTCCCATCCAATTTAAACTGTTCTAAGTTCAGAAATAACAAAATTTCTCGTTATTTTTACAACCTCTGCTATGTCACTGATACTGAAAACCATCAATATACTATAAAAAGGAAAATAAACCACAGAACAATTTTCTTTGGAAACAGAAAAATCATAAATAAAAATATTAGCAAATCAAATGTAGGAATAAATGAACACATTACAATATTTCAATGTTATACTTTATTCAGAACTGTTCAGTATCATAAAGTCTATTAGCATAATCATAAATAGCAATAAAAGGAGAAAAATCACGATTATCTTTATGATTGTCAAAAATTCAACAATCATTCATGATAAAATCTTTAGCAACATAGAAGAATATATGTTTCCTAACATGTTTCTGGAAATAACAGGCTACGTCACACCAGATGGTAAAATACCAGGACCATGCCATCAAGGTTATGACATTAAAGTTAAAACAAGACCTTATCATGCTCATTAACACACCAGGAAGTAAGACAAAGATGAGAATATACATCTTTGAAGAGGTAAAGGTTTTACTATTTGGAGACAATGTCAGGGAATGTGTTGAAAATCAGCTGAAAAACAACTGTAAGTAGTAAGAAAGTGGTGAAGGACTCAAACCATGTGTTTACTTTTTCATTTTCCCTAAACATTAAGCTTTCCGGTTGAATTGATACTCACATGCTGAAAAGGAATAAAAAAATCCTAGACACATGTTGGTAATATCTACGAACTCAAACCAGCTCAAAACAAGTCTGTGTGTGTGTGTATGACAGAGAGAGAGGGAAGTAACTATAAGTACCAACCAGAAGGATATTTAAAGGACCTAGAAATCTACCAAATTAATTTATGGGAACCACCTGGCCACAGAGCACATGGAAACAAGCAGAGGCATTTCTGTTTCTGGGCTGCTCGCGGCATTTAGCTCTCAGGGCTGGTTAAAGGTGCTCACTGTCTACAATGCTCAGGCAAATTCTGTGTGAGGAGGGATATTCTGCCCAAAATGTCGGTATCATCCTCAATGAAAAACACTGACCTAGATGAACTGATAACCTAGAAATGTAAAGGTCACCGACATCTCCTTGGGAAATAAGAAATCTCACCTGTGTTGTCAAAGCCCTTGCAGACAAACCCGACCTGTCCCCAGCATGTCCTCAGACCAGGGTTATCCCCCCGCACAATCTGGTGCAGACTCCCCAAGGCCAGGATGACTGGCCCTCCCAAGGGCGCTTCTTCCCAGCGGCGTCCCGCTCCTCCCCCCTCTGACATCAGCATCCCTCCCTCTGCCCCCCGGATCTGCAGCCACATCCCGGAGCCCAAAGGCTTCTTTGGCCAGGCCACACCTCATCAGGAGCCCCACACCACTGTGTCCTGCTCCCACAGTCCTCGGGCCGGGTCGCACATCTGCAACGGTGTTTCATTCGTGTCTGTCTCCCCCACTGGACCGTAAGCTTCATGAGGGCAGAGATTGGAAGGTCTGCTCACCATGTTAGAACCCCAGCTGTTCTCTAGCGAGAGCATGACAGATGCTCAGATACGTTACAGCAAAATGTGTGAATGAAAACCTGAGGGGACTAATATCATACAATAAATTGAAAAGAGAATCACAGATATATCCCCAAAAAGACCCACGGGGGTCAAAAGGCGATGTATATCAAACACTGAAGGAACAAATCATTCATATACTGTTCAAACCTTCTTAGTCCACAGAAAAGAATGGGACATTTCTTAAATCATTTTTATAAATGTAGCATAACCCCAAAACCAACACTACACAAAGAGAAAAAAAAGAAAATCATTCAGCTACCTTATGAATGTAGCAAATATGAATGCAGATGCAAAACGTCAGAAACACTTAACCACCAGCAATCCAGTAGTAAAGATGCATCATAACTAAGTAGGTTCATCCCACGCATGCAAGAGAAGTGCAATATTAAGTAATGAGTTAATATCACTCCCTATTCTAACTGACTAAAGGGAGAAAATTTACACTATTAGGTCAGAGAGCATCGGGAACTCTGGAGCTGAGGCAGCTCCTTATTGGACAGGATGACTCTACGTAGAGAAAGGCCAGGAAAATGGGAAGGAGAAACCATTGATCAAAACCTGCAACAGGGCATGAATGGTCCTAATCGAGCCTGGTTACCCATGGGGGGGACAGTACATGTCACTTTGACTACCAGAAGCCACTTCTTCAGTTGAGTCTTGCCAAAGCACCGAAGCACCACCCAGGGAAACCCCCACTCTGTATGGCATCAGTTAGCCTTCTAGAAGACAGGAGTAATCATGACTGAAACTGAGCAGAACAAACCTCAACATCAGGAGACGCAGCTGGGAATTCCCAGTGCAGCCTACATGCAGAGGTATTCTGAAGACTACAAAAATAAACTAAATGTTTCCCAAGCTTGCCACTAAATAATGAAAAACTCGGAGATTAAAAACCCTCCAAAATTAAGAGAAGTGACCAAAACCAATCAAGGTGACACCCCCAGACCCCTCCTCATCCATTTAAAACAGTCTATATGTCTAATACACGAAACTGGTCCACCATATACTGGACATGAGGCTAAGGTTCAACAAAAGTATTTTGAAAACAAAAAGCAACCTACCATTATGTGCTCAAGTAGAGAATCTATTGCGACTATGTTATCAAAATACGTTCTGGAAAAAAGGACATAAAACCGGTAAGTAATCTTATTGAGAACACAGAGCATATTAAACTTTGAATACATTTCCCAGTTTGTCTTCATTTAAATAAAAATATAAAGACCCATGTCTGACTTTTTGTCATCTTGTAGAACAATCAATAATATTACTTTAAAGAGACAAAGGAAACTTTCTTCCTGACGTTAGTATAAGGACTAGTTTCAGAGAATGACAAGTACCAAATACTGACGCAGGAAGGATGTTTGCAACATTTACCTGCAACTAAGGAGAAATAAAACTAGGTTTACCACATTTCACATTACCATGAATAGCTATGATCTGAAATAAAAACATTTAAATTTGCTAATTCTCATTAATATGGTTAAAATGTAAATTACCACTGAAAACTAAAAAGTCCAACTATAGTTTAACTGTACTGAGAAAGCAATATAATTCATTTAAGAACTATCAGAATATAAATGATAATAAGAACCTAATGACTTTACACAGAAAAATATATATCCATCAATAAGAACAGCAAGTAAAGATTTTGGAGGTAGCTGGTACATATATGAAAATGTACACCTGGTGAACAGGTGACTCGACAGCATGCGGATAGGACTACAGTATGTAAAGGAATCTTCTCAACTAGGATCTACTGGCAAGGCATGCTTTCAGTATAGCTTTGTGCAAATTTAGCAGTGTGCTCCTAAGTAAGATAAATTATGGTCATAAACAATGCCTTTCATTTAAAGCCAAGTCATTAGCTTGAACAGGCTAAGACCCAGAGCAGCCTGCGCCCCTGGACACTGAGGAGCACACGGGAGGAAGCTGGGAACGGACCTCCGCTGCGGAACAAGCTGGAAGAGCCCCGAGGGCTTCCACCGCAAACACGGGGTGTTCAAGCACGAGCAAGAGAAGGTGAGCGAGCGGCTTTCCTTCCCAAGTGTTTGAAGCTGTAGCGTATGTCCCACAGCTACTGTTGCACTTGGGCTGGGGGATCAAAAGAGATCTCGTTCAGCCCTGGCCAGGTTGGCTCAGCTGTGGGGGCACCGGACCTCAGACCAAAGAGTTGCGGATTCGATTCCAGTCAAGGGCATGTATCTCAGTTGCAATGCGGTCCCCGACCCTGCTCAGGGTCGTGCGAGAGGCAACCAATCCTGTCTCTCTCTCATTGACTTTCTCTCTCTCTCTTTCTCTCCCCCCCTCCTTCCTTCCCTCCCTCCCAGTCTATCGGAAGATAAATGGAAAAATATCCTTAGGTGAGGATTTAAAAAAAAAAGAGAGAGATCTTGTTCAATTCCGTATTTCTCTCATTTTATACTGAAGAAGACACGTGCAGCCCAAAGCAGCAAGTGCGGACGAACTGCAGGGGATGCTGGGAGAGGTCTGAGTGGGCGGGCAGCCCGGCAGAGCAGCACATGCTCCCTGCAGTGCGCTCAGGGACGTGCCCGAGCACCCCTGCGCAGGCTTCCGATTTCAGGGGAAGTGCGTGGTCAGGTAACGGGTCCCCCGTCCCAGAGAAGCCACTGTGGACCTGGGATTTCATTCACCATCTGGACCTGCTCCACCCCCAGCCCAGGGAGCTTCTCCAGGTCCAGCTTCGGGGCAATGGGACATTCTCTCTGAATTGGTACCTAAGCTACTGTAAACCAGAAAATTAAAATAATATTAACAATAGGTTTTCACTGACTGACGTTTATAGAAAATGCCAGAAAGGACTTTTTGAAAAAAAATAAACTAGAACATTTCCTCTTCTGCTGTTAGTTTCTCCCATAAACACAGAAACGCCTGGTGTTTTTAACAGGTTCTAGTGAATCTATTTAAAATATACAGCAAACCGCAAATTCGAATGATCACAGAAACACCTTCTACCCTCCACCTGCAGAGTGGGCACGGGTGAGCATGGGACTCTAGCTGTCCCCGGCTGCAGATGGCCCGTGACAGCTGCCCACCCTTAACGTGGACACTCACTTGGACACGTCAAGTAGAAAGTCATTCAGTTCAGTCTGCTTGGCAAGGCCTCTGCACACCTGCCGCACAGAATAAAGGTATTAATTACATATAAAAGTAGAAATTCCAGAATACTAGTGACCTTATTTTATTTAGAAAGGCATAACACAGTCGCTGGGTTTACAACGCAGTGACACCGATAACAGCTCGTTTCTTCTTCGGTGCTTCCATGTGCTGAGCACTTCACAGCTGCTACCTCATCGACCAGGGCCAGACACCGTAGGCGGGCTGACTTCTGTGACCAAGGCACGAAGTCGTTCAGAACCTTCTCGGGTCCCAGAGTTACGCAGGGAGGGAGCCAGCATTCAAAGACACTTCACACTGAAAACAACTGCCCTGGGCCCTGGCCAGTATGGCTCAGCAGTAATAGGAGTGTCCGCCCATGGCCTAAAGAGTCTCAGGTTCGATTCCAGTCAAGGGCACATGCCTTGGCTGTAGTTCAGACCCCAGCCCTGGTTGGGGTCGTGTGGGAGGCAACCAGTCGATGTGTCTCTCTCACATCAATGTTTCTCTCCCGTTCTCTCTTTCTCTCCCTCCCTCCCACTCTATTTGAAGATAAATGAAAAAATATCCTTGGGTGCACCTTCCACCCACACTCCCTCTCATGTCGGACCTCAGAAGCCTGCTTCTCAGAACCTGGCTCTACAGGTAAGAATCTATCGCATGGCCCTTCCTTCGCCCGAGCTGGCTGAAATGGACTTAGAAAAACAAAGCAACAGGAAGAGGAAAACACTTGAACAGAATCGTAGCCTTGTTTCTGAACTTTAAAAGTCTAGTTACCAGGAAAACTGCACTTGGTAAATTAGAGCATTTTTTCTAGAGAACCAAGGATCTTACATTTAGGATTTATGTTTCATACGCCATGCGGTGTGGAGGATGCAATAACTTCGGAACTGGAGTCATGAAAATACCGATGCTACAGTGAGTAGTGGACTGTCCCTGGGATTTCAGGGGAAACTGGAATCATACAGGACACATTCCCTTCTGGCACAATGATGCCCGGCTATCCACATACAGAGAAAGAACTGCAAGCTACCAAAGGCAGAAAGTAGCTACCTCTAAGCGAACAGATAAAATGTCAGAGGTAACACATCTCGGAGGCGCAGACAGAAGGCACGAGGTTGCTTCCTTCCCACATGCACCCCACGCGGAGCAGCCCTGAAACACCCGACTCACCTGCACCTGGTGGATTGCGACGGAAGCCCAGGCTAGGTTTGCTGTGGCCACCTGACAAAGAAGGATGAAGGACACTGTCATGAGCCACAAGCACACATCCCCACAAAAGACGCTCCCATAAATGTGTACAATTTTCTGGGGTCACTGCGCCTTTGAATATTTTGCCAAACACACAGCACCGAACATGAACAAGATTTCTCCTTGACATCCCCCTTCCTTTACAGAAGAATTGAATGCTTCCTGGTTCCTCATAATTCTGGACAAAAAGGAAAGTAAATGGATTAAGAGAGCTAGAGTTGAATGATCTTAACATAGAATAATTAGTTTAATAAAAAAAAAAAACTATTAAATAGGCCTCGAATAACCACTCTAAAACGATAAAATATTTCTACAACTTTGCTGACAACTTCTCAAATCACTAACTCTTCTACTTTTTCTGTTACTCATCCATCTAGCAAATATTAACTGGGTGTCCACGAGGTGCCAGCACTGTCCTTGGTGCTGGGGACAGACTGCGACCACAGAACAGCTGACTGTGGGGACAGCACAAGGCAAGAAAGAAAGGGATGAGCACAGCGTATCCGCTGGCCAAGGGCTCTAGTGAAAAGGAGGCCCAGGGAGGAGCGGGGACACCTGACAGGAGTCGCTCAGGACTACATGCAGTGCTCAGGGACAGCCTCACTGAGGGGCCACATTTGAGGTCCTCACCGTGGGATGTGGGAAGGACCAGGACATGAACAGGTTCTGACTGGGAGGAAGGAGGATGGGGGAGCAGGGGTGTGTCAACCAGGGCCATGGACAGGGTGCCAGCCACTGAGGGACTTGGACGTACACTGGGTGTGACAGACATCACCGTGATACTGATTTTAGTATTAATGAGCCAATTCCAACTCAGGGAACAGTGGACAGAACTCATTGTTTTCCAGGAGGATTCGGTGCCGGGCTCTTTGTTCAGGACGTCCTCTAGGGGGACATTTATGAGAAAACAGAAAGCCCACCAGAATGTGGAAACTCTCCAGTGTTCTACTACTTAATCTGCTGCACAATATGACACACTTGTATGTTTACTGTTAAAATGGACTCTTACTTAAGAAATGCCTACATTTATAGTTTCATCACTCCCCTGCAAAACAAAACAAGAGTTTTAAAAAATCATTTGTATTAGTATCAAAACACTGTTAAGCAAACTGGTGTGTAATTGTTCATTATTTCATTCACTGAGCAGCACCGCCGAGCGCCCTCCACGCCAGGTACCGCCCGGCCCGAGCAGCGTGCTCACCTCCTGGTGGCGCAGGCAGAAGGCCTCCTGGCCCCAGTGCCGGTACAGCTCCAGGATGCCCACCAGGTCTCCGATGGCAGTGACGATGGGCAGACAGAGCACCGACTGGATCCGCGTCCCCGACTCTAGTCCCGTACCTCTCGGAAATCGTTCATCCTGAAAAATAAAAGGGGGGAAGATGCAAATTCAGCAAAAGAAATGGAATAATGAAGTTCTGATTCTTGTTTCTGTAAGAAATCACCTAACACTTGGAATCGATAACAAGCAGACCTTTCCCAGGGAAAACCCAACAAGGGCCACGATGAACACCGTTGAAGGAAATGCTGACCTTCAGCATCATGGAACCTGTGCGCAAATCCGGCCTGGACACGTATCTCTGGATACCAAAAGTTAATCATTAACACATATTAATTTCATGCAATAATGAAAATATTTATGATGGCTAAATCCATTACTCACCATCTTCTATTGTGCCAGAACTTTTATAAGGGCTTTTTAAGTACAATGTCACAAGTGAAAATTCAAAAGTAAATACCATATGAAGAAAATTACATACACAATTTTCCTCTTCTATTTTAAAGGTTAGAATAATACAAAGTGGATGTTACTAATAGTCATTTTAACTGAACTTCAGACTGATATTAGATATTAAAATCATCCAATAATTATCCATTTTATAAGAAGTGAAATTGGTTCTTTACTTTAATAATTTTCTAGCTTAGCAAAATCTCTCAAAGAAATATACAGAAATCAAATGAATTAATATTAAAACAGCACTTCTATTAGCTCAATTTCTTCCGTCTGTGGAATGCTTCCCACTAGAATACAAATCTATAATTATAATTTATAAATCTTTTGAAAGTTTGCATATACAATAGAACATTTTCAATGGGCAACTTATATAGTGTCTAGTTTTCATACTCACTTTTAGAAACTGAAGTGTATTTGACATGACACTGTCGGTGTGAGGTCACCTGCTGATCTGCCCATGTGTACTGTGGAAGGACCGCCACAGCACCCTTAGCCCCTGTCCTGTCCCATAATTCTCTTTTGCTTTTGTGGTGGGAATAATTAAGAGCTAGTATCTTAACAAGTTTGATAATGACAATGCAGTAGCATTGTCTATATTCAAACTATACATTTACTTTTAACCTCCTTCCTTTTTTCCTTTTATTTTAAATAAAATAACTAATTATCTGATTTGTTCAAGATAATACAGATAGAAGGCAGAACCAAAATGCAAACCCAGATTTCATGAGTCTAATTTAGAATTCCCCAGAACAAATGCATCATACCTAGAACCTTGTGTGTACACTTGTCACTTTTAAGGGCTGAGCTCACGCCTGACCTTCCGCCACCCTCACTGTGCTGTGGGGACCCAGACGCACTAAGGGCTGCTCCATCACAGTCCCTGTGACACGTCCTTCATCGTTCCCTCCAAAACTGAGTCTGGGCCTCCCACGTGGTTAGCTGTGGCTAAGAAGGGGGAGAAAACTCGATGCAGGCACAGCACAGGCTTCAAAACCCACTTGCACATCTGACGTCTTCCCTAGGAGCTCTGCCTCCACCATAAGGGCATCAAGGCTCCCTCCTGGGGGTGGGGACATGTGGAGAGCTGAGAGCAGCCAGCTCCTAAGCGGTGGCCAGCTAATGTCGGATGTGTACGCAACCCAGCCAAACACAGGAGGGCCCAGCGCACAGACTCACGGGGACAGCAGGGGGTGCTGTGCGACACGAAGCTCAGGGTCTGCCAGACAGCAGTAGCTATTCACATTCACACCTTGCTAGGATGTGAGACACCGACAGCCCCATTTAGTTTGCATGAAGATGAATGTATATTTTATGCTTAACTATACTGGCCTATGTGCAAATAAAAACCATTCAAATCTAGCTCTCAGCAGGTAAATAAAATATGGTTTCTGAGTACAAAGAATTTGTGCACATACAAATTCATTATTGCACTGTATCATGCTTTAATGAAACGACTTTTCAAATTATGACATCAAAACAATGTTATCTTTCTTAATTAAACACTTCAGATGACAATGGCACAAAGAGCAAAAAGCCAGGTACCCCGAGGATGTCCTCCACGAGCAGCGTCTTCCGGGACTTGGCCACGTAAGCGGAGGTGGTGGTGCCCTGGGCGATGGGCCCCGCGGGGATGAGCCGGGGCTTTCCCTCCTTCACTCCAGGTGGCGTGAACACGCACAGGCTCTGGCAAGAAGAAAGGAACGTGATTTGGAGACTTTCCTGCCCTGTGGCACGGGACAGAGAGACTCCTGGACGTGACGTAGCAATCCCGAGAAACCTGGGCACCAAGAAAGAGCAGACGCAAGAGGGGAGAAGGGGTTTTGCAATGGTAGGACTGGAGTGTCCGAGGTGAGACTCTCACGTGCCTCGTGCATACGAAGTACAGGCTACTTACAGCCTGTGCACAGAAGAGCTCTTAAAATAGCCTCCTATTCTGATAGATACAAATTACTAACATGAAAAAACAAACAAACAAAAAATGTAAGCTGTCACTGGGCTCAAGACAGACCCACAAGAGCCAGCTCAGCTTCCCTGCAGATGGGGCCCAGGAACCTACGGCAAGGTCAGAAACCACACGTCAAAGGGGCATGGTTCTAGGGGTCGCTTTCATGGCAGATCTCCCCCCTCAGAGCTTGTCCCATTTGCAGGCTCCGTCCTTCCAGTCCGTAAACTGGCCCCCTGCAAACTGCCAGGTGCATACACTCTGGATAAAGACCTGCTCTTCTCTGCGCAAAACATTTTGGGCAAATCTGGGTGTATCGTCCCCTTTCAAAGACCAGGTGGGAGGGTAAAGTTCTGACACTGTCTTAAAATAAATGTTTTAAAAAATATGGTCAGTTATTTTGATCGAATCAAATCAGTTTTAAAGAACTATCTACTGAATCAGAATTGCTCATCCACATCAATCTCATGGAAACTGGGCGCAGCATTCCACATAACTGTTATGATTATCCACTCAGTCTGAATCATTAAGGCTCAGGTGACTCCTCCCAACACCACCTCTACCCTAAGTCGGACTGCTGCAACCTAAAGGGTGAGACCTTCGGGAACAAAAGGCATTAGACAACCCTCTTAAGCTAAACACGGTCCCATTCATTCCTGCCATTACTAAGTTAGTTCTAGGAAAGACAGTGAGTTGTGTGTATTTTGTAACTTATAGGTTGAGTGGTTTTTAAGCTTTGTAATGTCACAGAACCCTTTTATTTCCAAATAAAATCTTCTGTATGGTCACAAGACAGTGAGCCAGGTCCACCTGAGCTCCTCCAGTCAAGATGGAAGCAGGGACGAGGACGGCAGTGCTGGCCCCTGGCCCCTGGAAACCACCCTCCAGAGGAGCAGCCACTCCAATACTGTCGCTCACTGGTGTGTCCACATCAGTCAGGACACTGGTTACGTAGCATCTGCTACTGAGTACATACCTGTGAAAATACATTTTTAGTGTGTCTATTTTTAGATATTTAAATACAAGTTATACACGTTAGAAAGATTTTAAACATTTAACTTTATAAGATAATAAATACCAATTTCACCTATTTATTTTTAAAGAGACCAGACATCAGAATCCCTGTTGGGAAAGTTGCTATAATTCTGCTAGCACCAATTTACATAGAGCATAGAGGAAGTGAGACCTTGGTTAGATCTATACCTCACTGTCGCAATGCAACTCAGTGTGTATTAAGCTGGGAGAAGAGCAGCAGAATGAATCAAAAACAGGAAGAGACATGATTTCAAGACAAAAACCTAAAGGCTATGGTATACTTAGCTTGAAGACAAACCTGCCTTGATGCTGACTTTCTCAAACTCTGAAAGTCAAGCATGAGGAGGATGCTGAGCCAGGCTCCCCACAAAGCAGAGCTGCAGGACGTGGACGCCCACTGAACTGAGCGGGGCAGCAACGCACAGAGCTCCCCGACAGAGTGGGCCCTGAGCTCTGGAGCGAACTCCCAGCAGCGGCTTTGAAATTATTGTAGTTGTCGACTTTGCTGTTTGAATATACACAACACATATCTTTTGGGATGACTCTGCGATAGGCCCATTAGGACTGGATTTAATAGTATCTTCAAGTTAAACTTAGCATTAGAATTCAATAATGAGAGGATAGCATGTACACTGTTAGATCACTTATTCAATATCATAAAACATTTCTTGCCGCCACATAGGGTTTCTATACGATTCAAAAGACAGGTGAGCAGATCCTGGACCTAGAGTATGTGAAGACTATTCTATGCTGGAAATGAATGGTTACAAGTCTTTCAACTATTGACTGAACCTGAACAACTGCTCTTTATGGATAAATAGTTATCAACATATTAAATAATCCTTTACAGTGGGAACTTGATATTTGTTTTCCTAATTAAGTCATGATTTTTAAAATCATATTTAGCAAATCAACTGTTTCCAGATGAGAGCTGGAGGCAAGGGCTAACAGCATTGAATAATGTCACCTTGTCACAGAAATGCCAGGCCCAGGCGGGGGGGGGGGGGGACGACAAGGACCTGTCAGACCCTATTCCGAGACTGTCACGGTGTCACACCTGCTCCTCTCTCTTAGTCGTCTCCAACACTACTTTGGGGACTTTTTCTTTGGTCTTTTTTTTTTTTTTCCACTTCATAAAATTCACCTGTGTACCAGCTCCCTTCACAACGCCCATTGCTGACTGAAGTTCAGCCAGCGGTTCAAACTGTGTGGTCTCTAATCCATGTTCTTTAAGATCTTTGTAGGTGAACAGGATAATTGCAGCTAATACTGCAAACAGAGGAAGCCAGTAACAAGCCTCTGGATTTTATATGCATTCAAGGATGGGGAAAAGTTAAATCTACCTTTATTTGCTCCCTAGTAGTGATCAAGTAGACAGCTATGTGTTGAAGTCTTCTTGTTCCCTTTGTTTAAACTGCCACCGTCATCTTCCACTAAATCCCCCCATACACCCAGTCTGTTTCTGAACACTGCCCGGTACCCTCCGGTTCACCTGTCAACCATGCTGTCCTAATTCCTGTAAGTTTAAAATATACATATATTTTTTAAATCCTCATTCAAGGATATTTTTCTATTTATCATCGAAGAGAGAGAGAGAGAGAGAGAGAGCAATATCAATGTGAGAGAGACACATCGACTGGCTGCCTCCCATATAACCCGACCAGGGCCAGGGACTGAGGTACATGCCCTTGACCAGAATCGAACCTGTGACTCATTGCTCCACGGGCCAATGCTCTAACCTCTGAGCCAAACGGCCAGGGCTCATTCCTGTAAGTTTAGAGTCCATTTTTTGACTTGGCCAGGCGAGTCTTGCTTTGGTTCTTAATGTTTCAGCGTAATCATAATTTACTGTACATGCCATATCGTGCCTCTCTGGTGAAGGGCCTGCACTATGCATAACAAATGGTGGGTACAAAGTCGTTCTAAGGAAACATACAAAGGAAATAAGAGCTTTGTTTTTCAAAATCGATCATGATTTCTGACATAAGGATCTGTCTGGGATGTTTGGATTAATAAGTTAAGAAATATAACACTCGCCATTTTCATTAAGAAGGAATGAAAACTAAACTGCCCTTTATGAAAACCACCACCCAAAACGTGTAACTCAGTATCATTAATGACACAGATAACTCTACTTCACTCGGAAAACCTTCTTCTCATCTTCCCCTCCATGCACAACTCATGGAACCTCAGTTTTATGTCAAGGTTTTCACTCATAACCTGTTAAATTTTAGAAATACTTTTTAAGAAGAAAAAATATTTAGGTGTACCTTTTTTTCTCACAAGACACTAGATGGCGCCAGGTATAAATGAACTTGGAGCCAGGGACCTGGCTTGAGCAGCCAGTCCCCATACCCACCGGGAACGCCAAGTCCGTAAGTAACTTTGTTTGCACGTTTCTTAGAAATGAACCTACTGAAGTTTACAGTACAACTAAAAAGTCACACAATTGCTGTAAACTACTAGGTCAAAAATGGCTTCTAAAACCAACAGATGATAAGCTATCTATCTTACTTTCGGTGTTAAAAACTGTCAAGTGCATTACAGTCTACGGGATGTCCAGCGTCTGCAAGCAAGTCTACGGCCGACACGAGGAGACTGGTGCTGGCACCAGAAGCACCACATACCGATCAGCTGAAGTGTGTGAGGAGGTGTGAGAAAGGAAAACGGTAAAAACATTAAAAGTTGAATTAAGCAAAACCTTAATCACGAGAACGTCAGTTTTGTCGACAAGCGTTCCCAGAGCACCTGCCAGTCACGTGTCAGGTGACACCCTGCTCTGGGCCCAGACACAGAGGTACCTATCTGCTTCCTTTCCGAGCTCCCGGTTTCTCACAAACTGCTTCCTCTTCCTAAGTCCTTTCTCTCCCTTCTCACCCAGCGAGCACGCGGTCTTCCACGCTCTGCTCAAGCAGGGCTAATCATCCAAGCGGCTTTAATGCGATCACCCCAGTACCCCCATCAAATGCAGGACCCCAGAGCACCCTGGGTTCCTCTCTGGTCACTCTTAGTGCCATCTGCTATAATTTAGTGTAGATTTCTCGACTTCCCTACTAGTTGTACATTCTTTGATGGCAGAAAGGACTTGCTATTTATCTTTGTATGCTCTGCTATTTAGCACAGTTTTTGGTACAGAGCAGGTGTTTTAAATGGTGTGTTGAATGAGTAACATCCATGATGTAACCTTTAGGCAATGGAGATTGATTAACTTTTAGGAAGTTTAAGGTTCTTGTTGGAGTCACACAGTAGTGAACCGCACTCTTACAGTAACTCCAGAATCAAACTCCTTTGAAAAGCTAACTATTGACTGGGAAGCTTTCCTCCTTTTCCAAGCTTTGAAACAGTAAGAAACACAGAGGTCTCTCCTGAAGGGCTGTTCCCAGGGCAATGTGACCAGGAAGGTGCAGAAACCTATTCCAGCTCATCCTGAGCCCAGGCTTGGCAATGGCCCACACAAGGCCGGTGCTCGAAACTGTGTGCTGAGTAAGTGTCCTACCAGATTTGAGAAAGGCCTTATTGTAACAGTTTTCAATGTCCTCCATTTACTGGTCTATTAGGTTTTCTATCATTGTTTGCATCAAATGGAGCAATTTATATTTTCCTTGGAAACTGTCCATTTTTATTTAGATTTTCACTTTCATTAGTCTGATATCCTCTCATAATTTGTCATTTTCACTATATCTATTGTTTGCTATTTTTTAAATTA